AGCTGTGGAAATTCTGGCAGACATCGTGCAAAACTGTAGCCTGGAAGACTCACAGATTGAGAAGGAGCGTGATGTGATCCTACGTGAGCTGCAGGAGAATGATGCTTCCCTGCGGGATGTGGTCTTTGACTATCTGCATGCCACAGCGTTCCAGGGCACCCCCCTGGCCCAGCCTGTGGAGGGGCCCAGTGAGAACGCCAGGTGAGGGTTGATTTTCCCTGTAGTAAATATGTCCCCCATTTGGACTAGGGCCAGATCCCTTCCAGGCCAATTCTACAAGCATTTGTATACAGTTGACTGACTGCTCATACAGCCTGTTTATTTTCCTAAGTTACATGATCAGAGACCTTTTCTGGGTTGCTGTACGGTCCTTGTGAATCCTTTCTTTTTTGTGTGTGTGTGAATCCTTTTTAAGGGCAAGGAAACAAATAGGTCTGTCTTGAAGAGGTTGAAACCAAATTTCTCCTTGGAGGCTAGTATTTTAAAGCTCTGTCTCACATGCTTTGGGCACATGGCCAGGAGGGACCAGTCCTTGGAGAAAGACATCATGCTCAGCAGGGTGGAGGGACAGCGTAGGAGAGCAGGACTCTAGATGGGATGGATTGATACAGTAACTAGGGTAATGGGGGTTGGTGTGTCAGAGTCAGTGAGACTGGCTCAGGACAGGGCAGGCTGCAGAGCTGTTGTACACAGGGTTGCTGTGGGTCGCAGGCGACTTGATGGCACATAACGATGACAGCAACATGTGTTTACTCAAATTGTAGGATGTGTTCACGCACATGTTCTGCCAGCCTGAGAAGCGAGGGTGTGGTCTCCTCCCGTGTGTCTTACTGTCCCCTGGTGAGACATGACCTGTAAGGGTCTCCACAGCACATCCCCTCTTGGGTGAGGACTGTGAACCTGTCCTGGGTTCAGGTGTGAGGCAGACTGTCCTGCAGGCCCTGGAGGAGTGGCTGCAGAGACAGGAAAGGGCCCTTGATGAATGTGCTAGGTCACAGTCGCTCTCTAGGGAAGTTGTTTGTACCTTTCCTCATCTCTTCAGCCCATTTGCCATGACCCTCCCTGCTCTGGTTTGAGAGAGGTATTGATCTACTGGGGTGTGTCTTGTAGGAAGCTGTCACGTGCAGACTTGACGGAATACCTCAGCAGACATTACAAGGCCCCACGAATGGTGCTTGCAGCAGCTGGAGGTAAAGCCCTGTGGTAAAATGGGCGGGTGGGCACAAGTCTGGGCTACCAGGGCCTCAGTTCTCCTGGTTTTGCTACAGTTCTGGGTCACCTTGTCCTAGTCCTGCTCGTGCCGGCGCACCTCTCTTCGCGGCCCTGTGCGGTTAGGTCAGAGTCTACTCTGCCACTACTTCTGGTGCTGGCCCCCATTAGTTCTGGTCTCAGTTTGGCTGCTGGCCCATTCCCAGGCTTTAGGCCTTTTCTAGTCCCTCCTGGTCCCAGGCAAGTCTATACTTGGCATGTGGGCTGGGGAGACAAGCCCCTGGGCCTGTTCGTTATGACCCTGACAGCAAGCCAGATATTGGATGTGTGATAATGCCCATTTGATAATAGCTAGAAGTATCTTTTAGATTTGGGAGTTAGATTAACACATACTTGGACAGAAGATTAAGAGGGCATGAAAAAAATAAGTGGATTACAAAGTGAATTGGGGAAAGGAGAAGGGAGTGGGAGGGAGGAAAATGTGCATCAGTAAACTAAAACCAAAGAAAAGACAGCATGAGGGACCTGAGCGGAGGGGAGGGTTTGTTCCACAGTGTGATGGATACGCTAAGGCTTACTCTGCTGTTTGTGGGCCAGACCGGTCCCCTCACCTCAGCCACAGGAGCGGCAGTGTATTAAGTTTCAGTAACAGGGTCCCGTCCATATGACTGATGTGTTGATTATCTTCCTGAAAGAAGCATTCTCTCTGGTCCCCAGAGTGAGGGTAGACCAGCCAAGGAAGGGCTGTGTCGCACCTGGTGGGGACAGCAGGAGCAGGGAAGAGAAGTGAGTGTGCTCAGGATATTTTTATAGACAGAAGCTTGACAAGTCTGATCCTGGTGGGTAGGAGAGCAGGGCCAAAGATGCTTCCTTTTTATGGCTTTAGCCATTCGAATGGCTGAGTGGGTGACAGGCTGGTAAGAGCACAAATAGAAGTCTTGGAGGTAGGGAACCAGAGGATCAAAGACTGAGTCTCTGACCTGTCAGGCTTTACTGAGTTGGAGCAGGCCTAAGCTTAGGGGAGGGAGGAAGATGGCTGAGGCATCTGGCACGCCATTGCTTGGGGTGGGCTCCTTGCTGTCCCAGTGCTCACCACTTGGGATGCTAGGGCAGCGGGGACCACCTCCTGTGGATCCGCACAGGTGAGTCCTGTACGGGGATGTAAGGACATAGGTTTATAATGTAACTTGTGCTATTCCAGCTCTCAGGGACCCCAAAGGTACTCAGAGTCCTGCAGGAGCCCCTCTGTGTGCTCTTACATTCACTACCCCTCACATGAACAGCAGCCAGGATCTTCCTGGGGAAGGAAGGGCTAGTGGGACATGGCACACGGCTTTGTGCCTGAGGAATTCCCGTCTTCCCCTTGGTGGAGATGAGAAGTCTCTTTGAGGGCAAGAATCGACACAAACAGGCACCTGTTTTTGACACTCACTGCACTCCCACGTCTGTGGGTGAGGCGAGGGGACCTGTGCAGCCCAGAAGTGCTTCCCTTGCCACAAGCAGGTCTGTTAGTGAAAGTTCCCTAACCCTCACCCTGTCTTGACAACCAGTCTGTCATCTGCCGCTTGTCTCACTGAGGCAGCTCAGGGATCTTCTGCGTTTTCCCTTGATCCCGGCTGCTCAGTAACATTGTCCTGGCAGGAGTGGAACACCGTCAGCTCCTCGACCTCGCCCAGAAGCACTTCAGTACCGTCTCTCATACGTACCCAGGGGATGCTGTGCCCACCATCCAGTCGTGCCGCTTCACCGGCAGTGAGGTGTGCTTTCTGGTGGACAGGGCTGGTATTCTCAGCTCACATGGGCCTCGGGTGGGTTGGAGTGAGGGGGTGTGGGTGTGTCCACCTGGCCTCTGGGAGGCCCATGTGTGTGTCTGTGTGTGTGGTTATCCACCTGATCTCCAGGCATGCCTCTGGAGTGGGAAAGTGGCCCCGTGGGACCACATGTGTTCACATACACATGCATTGCTCCATCTCCACTCTTCCTAGTCACCTCAGCAGCCTGGCTGCCTCCCAACCTGCCCATGTACCGTTCCAGATCCGCCATCGCGATGATGCCCTTCCCCTGGCCCATGTGGCCATTGCAGTGGAGGGGCCTGGCTGGGCAAACCCGGATAACGTGGCCCTCCAAGTGGCCAATGCCATTATTGGCCACTATGACTGCACCTACGGTGGTGGCAAGGTGAGTTATGTACTGTCCCCTCCCTTGCCTTCCGGGAGGGGAGAGTATTGGGGCCATGGACCGCAGGCAAGTGGGTGACAGCCTTTGCCCCGGCAGAACCTGTCCAGCCCTCTGGCTGCCGTTGCTGTGACCAACAAGCTGTGCCAGAGTTTCCAGGCCTTCAACATCTGCTATGCGGAAACAGGGCTCCTGGGGGCGCACTTTGTCTGTGACCACATGAGCATTGATGACATGATGTTCTTCCTGCAAGGCCAGTGGTGAGTACCAGCCCAGGACTGTGAGAAGGGTTCGGGGCGGCTAAAAGGCACAGTCTCTCAGAATGCACTCTTGCAACCCATCCGTGCTTTAGGATGCGCCTGTGTACCAGTGCCACAGAAAGCGAAGTGGTCCGGGGCAAGAACATCCTCAGGAACGCCCTAGTGTCTCATCTGGATGGTGAGCTCTCCGGTCCTTTGGGGAAGATGGGGAGGAGGTGTTTGCTGGCGGTGACAGCCCCCACGTGACCATTGTCCTAAGCTAGGTTAGGGAAGAAGGTGCTTCCGATCATTCCCCCGCCCTCCTTGAGTGACTTGATTTTATGTAGGTGAGTGTGGGCGAAGTCACCAGCCCACTGTTTCAGCAACAGGTGGTCATAAGAGAGACGGTGGTTGTAATCTGGAGTCAGCTGTGGGCACCAGTGGCTCTGGTCTGGACTGGGTAAATCCGACGCTTCCTCCTGCTCTTGCAGGTACTACTCCTGTGTGTGAGGACATTGGCCGAAGCCTCCTGACTTATGGCCGCCGCATTCCCCTGGCTGAATGGGAGAGCCGGCTTTCGGTAACGCAGACCCCGTGGGAGAGGTTCCACAGGCTTGGCCTAGCAAGCCTTTGGGAGGTGGGAAGTGGGGCCTGACAGTACAGTCCTGGAGACATCCCTGGTGTCCTGGGTAGCCATCACCGCAGGAAAGTGGGGTGGCAGAAGCCAAGGAGGTCTACCGTAGGGATAAACCTGCCACCTCACTCCTTTTGGATTAGGGGACAGCTCCCCCATCTGAGTGATCGATCTTGATCATCTGGGTAATGTTGCCAAGCTGAGGTGGTCTCCAGGTACCTGTAAGTCAGCATGTCCTCTGCTCTTGCCCCACAGGAGGTGGATGCCAGTGTAGTGCGTGAGGTCTGCTCCAAGTACTTCTATGACCAGTGTCCAGCAGTGGCTGGAATAGGTGAGTGGCCTAGAGTGGCTCTTTGTCCTCTTGGCTGGTCCCTTGGCCTCTCTTTCAGCTTCTATTTCCCCGCCCCCGGCTGGCACTGGAAGCAGCAAGTTGAGGCCTCCAGGAGGTTCTCCCCAATAGCCTGGCTGCCAGGGAGTTCTTTTTCAGTAAACCTGCCCCGGCAGCTCCCTGACTCCCTGCCAAGGTGCCTCCATTAATGCCCCACACCCAACAGGTAACGGGCACCTCTGTGTGGGGTGGGGCTCCGAGCGTGAAGGGACAGGTCCCGCACCCTGAAGGAATGTTCTCGTCCCTCTTTCCACTCAGAGCCTCCCCTGTGCTGGGCAGCTCCGAGTCGGGTGGGGCACAGGTCCAGGTGTCCCTGTGCAGGCCAGGTACTCCACCCTGACGCCCCACCTATCCCCACAGGCCCCATCGAGCAACTCCCAGACTACAACCGGATCCGTAGCGGCATGTTCTGGCTGCGCTTCTAGGCAAGGAGCCTGTGTAGGCAGAAGGGAGGGGCAGGGGGGCACATGGTCCCCCCACCACGCGTGCCACCCTAAATCCTCAGACCTTTGCAAGAAGAAGCTATGTCACAGATTAACTACCAATAAAATCATGTTGAAAACTGTCTTGTAAAAAAAAAAAAAAAAGAAAAGAAAAGAAAACTGTCTTGTTCCTTTTTTGCCTTGGCATTGAGTCCAGTTGGGGAGCAAGACCTTTATTCTAGTTCTTTGTCCCCCGAATCCTTTTTGCCTTTCCACATCCTTGGCTGATGTGTCCTCAGCCAGGGGCATGTGTGGGGGCTGCAACACCCAGGCCGGAAGCCTTTGATGCCTGCAGGGAGCTGAGCCCAGATGTTCCCACTCAGCCACATGGGGGATGTCAGCCATCCTGTCCTGAGAGTGGGAATGTAGGATCTATGGGAATGAAGCCTGGCCTTTAGCCTGGGAGGGCTCCCAGCCTGGAAGCTCAGGGGGCTCAAAGCCCTTGCAGAGGATCCTGTAGAATTGTCTTCTGGAAATCCCTGGCCCCTGGGACTTGGAGGAAGCCTCTTCAATGTGTTTACTCTGGATTCTGGGAGAAGAGGGCCTGGGGCAGTGTTCCTATTTGGTTTCTGACTGCTGCCTGGACAAGCAAGGCAAGAATCGTTTGCCTCAATTTGTAGCTGACTCAGGCTCCAAGAATAGCCCTGAGCTCAGTGGGGCCGGAGCCCCCTCCCTTGGCCAGGACTGTCCCAGGCGAGTTCTGAGTTGCTGATCCCTTCTGTGATGGCTTGGACCTGATGGAACACTCAGTGTCTGGTCCCCAGCATGTGGCCCCTGGATCCTAAGGAAGGTGAGGCAGCAAGGCCCCTTTTCTACATAACCCCTCCCTCAGATACTTCCATAGTCAGGTCTTCTGGGAGCCCAGTGGGAAGTGAGGGATTGAATCTAGGGGGAAATTGCTGGTGGGCAAGGGGCCAAGAAGTGCCATTCAAGAGTTCCCCCGCACATCCCAGCTGCTCATTGGGTACCTCCACGTGGGCTGACTCATAATGACCCAATCCTGCACCATCCTCAGGATCTTTGATGTGCTCCAACCCATTGTTAGAGTCAGTGTATCAACCTATCTTGTTGAGAGTCTCTAGAGTTTCCTTTGCACCTTTCCCTGCGTGATGTGTGCAAGGATTGGCCCCTCCTGCCAACATGCCCAGAGTATGTGAGGACATTCCCCATTCTTGCCTCTTAAGGAGCTCCCTGGTTGTACTTCTTAAAACATATTTGTGCTTTTGGCAGTCCAGGCTTCTACACCACAAGCCAAAGGCCTCAGTTATTCTGTCATTATTCATTGTCCCAACTTTTAGATGCATAGAAAGCAGTTGAAACCTTTTTAAACCGACATAATTGCTCTTTAACACTGGGGAAGTCCTTGACAACAAATGTTTCCATTAAAGGTCATCTTTTGATTTTTTTTTGACTGCTGTTACTGTGGTGTTGACTATGGATCTGGTGCCTTACACCCATTTGCTGCTGCCACCCCTACCAGAGGCTATACAAATGATCCAGGCTCATGTGGTCGATCTTTTGGAAGTAGATTGCCAGGTCTTTCTTCCAAGGCTCCTCCAGTGGAACTCAAACCTGCTGAATATGTTAAGATTGCACCAACCAGACTCGCTCTCATTTGCTGGCACAGGTGCCAATCAGAAAGCATTTGTCAAATTCCTCGAAAGCCCACAAACCAGCTGGCGTGTTTGACAGTTGGAGAACAGCCATTGGACAGTGTAGAACCTTGGGATGCTTGTAGATTATTTGGGAGGATGAGTAGATGCTGCACACCAAACAAGAAACCCACTGTCTTCAGGTTGATAACCAGCTTACCTACCCTCCCTCTGCTTTCTGAGGCTGTGGACCTTTACTGGAAAAGACTGTGCCTTGTTATCCTGAGCAGTGGCGGGTGGATTTGGACTTTCAGTTAGCAGTCAATATCTTAAACATGACAGCAGGGTGACTAGTATGTGCTGCTGCAGGTTTGGGCTTCATTTTTCCTCTGAGCCCAGCTCTAACCCTTTAAGGCTAGAGGCACATGCAGCACATCCTTGAGAGAGCTCTACCCTCTGGAAGTGATCTAACCTCAATGGACCTTGAATGCCAAGCCAAGTTCTAGTTTACCCACAAGGCATTTAAGGGGAGGGGCATCAGAGGTTCCTATAAAGATAAGGGATGTGGTCAGAATTGAGATCAGCATGAATTTCTATGGCAGTGCTGGCGAGCTTCACTGGTAGAGCAGAAGTCACTGTCTACAAAGAGAGACAGCGTCCTCAGCAGGACTGGCAAATTGAAGAAAGGGTTGGTCATAGCTTTGGCCACAGTTATGGTGAGGACTTATGGGAGTGTCCAGGAGTCTGGAACGGGAAAAGCTATGTCCTAGAAAGAAATCTAGCTGGACACAAATACGGTGTCATCTGACAATATGGAGTATACAAGAAGGAGTACTGAGTTAGATGCTGAGTTCTGAGGCTATACTTGGAGTTGTGTGCTTGCTGGGTGGCTAGAGTCAGTGGCCTCAGAGAACATGTCTTACTCATATCCCAGTCTTGTCCCAAACTCCCAACAGCCTCCTCACCTAGTGATCCTTTCACATTTCTTTTTTTTTTCAAATTTTTAAAATGTTATTATTTTTCGTGTGTATACTGTCAAATTGGATCTGACTGGTACAGGAGGAGATTGTCCCTCCTCCATCAGAGCATCTGGTAGATTCGAACCACATACCTCTGGGATTGCAGCGCAGCTTCTTGCCACTAGGCCACCAGAGCTCCCTTCACATTTCTTTTTTTTTTTTAATTTATTTTATTATTTTGTGTGTGTGTACCGTCAAATCGAATCTGACTGGTAGAGGAGAACATTGTCCCTCCTCCAGCAGAGCATCTGGTGGATTCGAACCTCATGTTTCTGGAGTTGCAGTGCAGCTTCTTGCCACTAGGCCACCAGAGCTCCCTCCTTCATATTTCTTTTATGGGTACCTTACAGTTCTTCCTGAACACACTCTCAGCTGGGTCTCCAGTCTCTCCTAAAAGCTGCACCCTCATGTGTGTCCATATCCACATGACATCTGCCCTGTTCCTGTCCACTCTTATGGAAGGAGACTCAGGAGCTTCCTCTGTAACAAAGACACCTGATTCCCTGACACCCTCTCCTGTGGGAATCATAAGAGGGGCTGTCCCTGTATTCTGGATTTCTGGGCAGCCACGGTCTTTCTTGTCCCTGTTCTCTCCACACCAACCATCAGGGCTGAGTTCACCTGCCTCCATCTCTCCCCACTCAGTCCCACGTCAGAAGGGCTGAGTGGTGATGCTTTCCGGCCCCCCCGGAGTCAACCGGCACCAGTGGGGAAAAGCTCTTGGAGGGAATTTCTCTCTGCCTTGATGTCACTTCCCTAGTGAAAATTCACATGCTTGGGACCATCAGGAGAGGGGAGACGGAAAGTCAAGTTGGATAAGGAGAGTATCAGATAGAGGGCTCATGATCATTCTGGTGTATGAGATGAGAAGCGGGAGCGACCCATGGTGGTCCTGGTGGGGGTGTTGTATGGAGGGAGGTCTTCAAGAAGAGTCAACTAAAGGAGCTCTGGCAGTGTAATGAGGACTTGTGCTTCCAATCAAGACTAGTTCATTGAAGAAGGGAGGCTAACAGGACATACTGAGGATGTGCTGGGGGTGGGTAACCCAGCCCGGGGCTCAGACAACCCACCAGTGTGGGTGTGAGTAAGAAAGCAGAGATTCCTGAGGGGTGAGTTATCACAGCGGGTGGTCCCTTCCTTCACATCTGGGCAGCCCCCTCCCTGCAGACACAGCTGGATGGCATCTGCCTGGGACTGATTAAGGGCACCACGGGGGGTGGGGGAGACTGGGATGCACAGTATACATGAGCATAATACAAGTTGTCTATCTGGCTTCCTCCTTCAAGTCTGTTGAGGAACATTACCTGGGCCCAGCTCAATGGATCTTGGGTTTCCCTGGGATGCTCCCCATAATTGCTAAGACCACTGCAACTGGTAAGGGGAGTGGCATAGGGCACAGGAGGCCTGACAGAGGAGGGATGGCTGAATCACAGGAGTGGCTGGTGAGACCTATGGCCTGAGGGCTTGTCTAGGCCCCCCGCCACGTGAGTCATCTCCAGCTGTTGCCTTCCCTATCCACCTCTGCTGTTGTCCCCTCAGTTTCCAGGAACTTGTCTACATCCTGACCTCCAGTAGCCGTTTCACTGGTTACTGCGCTTTCACCCAAAGCAGCCGGGATCTGCGCCCCTCTAGGGGTGGATACTCCTCTCAGCTCAGGATCAGCTCCGGTGCGAAATCTTAGGGGGATTCCCAGAGGCCACAAAAGGGGGGCTTGTGTTTAAGGCGAGTCAGATCCACAGGGAGGGGAAGGGGTGGCGACCTTGCGGGGTTGGGGGTGGGGTGGGGGCGGGCCGGGTCCCCGCCCTCCGCTGCGCCTCCTGGGAGCAGGGACTTTTCTCTGCTTCGGCTGCGCGTCTGCGGCGGCGGCAGGAGCGGAGGACGCGCAGGCAAGGCCGGGCCGGGCTGGGCGGCTGGCTCAGGGGGAGAAGAGTGGTCCGCTTGGGTTTCTACCTGCTGAGGCCCCGCGGGGCAGGGGGAGAGGGTCCTGGCTAACCGATCCCCTCACCCAGGATGAGGCTGCGACTCCTGGTGGCCGCGCTTTGCGCTGGGGTCCTGGCGGGGGCGCCCCGAGTGCGAGCCCAGACCCGGGAGAGAGGTGCGTGCAGCGCAGGAAGGGCCCCATTCGGGGCGTTGCACCCGGTCACCCGCGGGCCCCATCGACCGGGCCCTCCCACCTCACCTCCAAAACGCGCGCGCGGATTCTCCCCAATTCTTCCCGAACTTCGTACGCCCTCCGCTGTCCGTGCCGGAGCCCCCCACAAACCGCTAGCCCTACCAGGTTCCTAATCCGGGTCCCCCAAAGCGCTCTGGGTCCTCTATCTTTAGCCATCCTGCACCAGACCCTCTTAAATCTGCGTGCGTCCACGGAGGCCGACTTCTGCCCTAGATTCAACCCCTCCTCAGAAGCGCCCCCCCAACTCTGCCTGCTCCAACCCTCCGCGCGTGCAGGTCCTCTCACCGGGCCTTCCAAGGGTCCGGGGCAAGATTTGCATAAATGCAAGATTTACATGAATTTGCATAAATCAGGCCGCCCCCTCAATCTTCAAGGGTCGGGTGAAGGAGGGCTTGGGGGGCTCCAAGGAGAAGTCGTAATCTCCTCTCCCTGCTCCAGTGACCTGTACACGTCTTTACTCCGCTGACATTGTGTTCCTACTTGACGGGTCCTCTTCTATCGGTCGCAATAACTTCCGAGAAGTCCGCGGCTTCCTGGAGGGGCTAGTGCTGCCCTTCTCTGGGGCCGCTAGTGCTCAGGGCGTGCGCTTCGCAGCGGTGCAGTACAGCGACGACCCCCGGTGAGTGGGCCCCACCAAGGGCTGGGTGCCAGCAGACCCCACCAAAATGCCATTCCTCAGACATGCCTGGAAAGCCAGAAACCCCCAAGCCAAACCACTCTAGAGGTAGGCTTTGGAGACCCCAGAGATGCTGAACCAGGACTTATTCTGTAGATACAGGCCTAGGAGGTCCCATAAGTAAGAGCCCTTGATCTCTGACATGTCCCCAGGCTAGTGCCCGGCCAAAGACAGGACTTTGTTTCTTATTCTGGAGGCAGAGATCCCCACGCATTACATGTCTGCTGGACGCTCCCTGTTCTAACTCTCTGGCCCCCTCAGCTCCACCCCTTACTCAGGTTTTCTTGTCTGGCCAGGCTTGACTGGCCGTTTCCCTGTAATTGTTAAATTAAGAAGGCATTCTCCCCTCCCTCAAGCTCTCGGCTCCAGGGATTCTGGATGTGTCCAGACTTAGCCAAGGGTAGAATCCACAGGGGTGTCTGTTGACTCAGGGTGAGGGGCTTCATGTGTAGGAACAGGAGCTATAGGACCAAGAGGATCCTCAAGGAAGCCTGGTGTCCAGGCCCTTGCCCTGGAGGTCTCTGAGAGGCCACAGTCGGAGGAGGTCATCACCCCTGAGCTGCTACCACCTTCCAACCCCACAGGACAGAGTTTGGCCTCGATGCGCTTGGCTCAGGGAGCGATACAATCCGTGCCATCCGGGAGCTCAGCTACAAAGGGGGCAATACACGAACCGGAGCTGCCATTCTCCATGTGGCTGACCACATCTTCCTGCCTCAGCTGGCCCGTCCTGGCGTCCCCAAGGTAATTCTTAATCTCACCGTGCCTCCCAAGGTGACCCAAATCAAGGGTCCAGGGGGAGCCTTGGTTTGACCCCTGCACCTGTTCCAGGTCTGCATCCTGATCACGGATGGGAAGTCCCAGGACATGGTGGACACAGCTGCCCAGAGGCTGAAGGGGCAGGGAGTCAAGCTATTTGCTGTGGGTGAGTCCTGAGCCAAGGTAAGGGGTAAATTGAGGGTAAGAGCCAGTCAGAGGGAACGTGGCAGTTGAACTGTGATTGGGCATCACTTCAGGGATCAAGAACGCTGACGCTGAGGAGCTGAAGCGAATTGCCTCACAGCCCACCAGTGATTTCTTCTTCTTCGTCAATGACTTCAGCATCTTAAGAACACTTCTGCCCCTTATTTCCCGCCAAGTGTGTACGACTGCGGGTGGTGTGCCCGTGACCTTGCCCTGTGAGTTCCTGCCCATACTGTGTGGCCTGATCTGGACTTGACCCTGACCCAGGGGGCAGTGGTTTTACCTCAAGAGCTCCCGACCTTTGACTCCAAGCTGGGGGTGCTGTCCCCTGATCCTGACCTGGAGGTGCTGACCTTACCAACCCTATGCTCTGACCTTCCTGCCTTGATATTCCATTCCCTTCACTTTTAGCCGATGATGTGACCTCTGGCCCACGGGACCTGGTGCTGTCTGAGGTGGGCAGTCAGTCCCTGCATGTACAGTGGACAGCAGCCAGTGGTCCTGTGACTGGGTACAAGGTCCAGTACACACCTCTGACAGGACTGGGGCAACCACTGGCAAGTGAAATGCGAGAGGTGAGGATGGCAGGCGTGGGAATTAGAGGCTGGCAACTTGGCTGGGCAAGTGAGCTGACCTTGAGCCTGTGCAGGTGAACGTTCCAGCTGGTGAGACTAGCGTGCGGCTACAGGGCCTCCGGCCTCTGACCATGTACCAGGTGACAGTGGTCGCCCTCTACGCCAACAGCATCGGCGAGGCTGTGAGCGGCACAGTTCAAACCAGTGAGCAACCTCTGACCCCCCTCACCCAACCACCCAACTCAGTAACCTTTCCCACTCCTGACCCTTAATCTGTGATGGGGGACCTTTCTTTCCTCAGCTGCCCTGGAGGGCCCAGAGCTCACCATCCAGAACACCACGACCCACAGCTTCCTGGTGGCCTGGCGGAGCGTGCCGGGTGCCACTGGCTACCGTGTGACATGGCGAGCCCTTAGAGGTGAGTGAAATGTGTAGGCTGAGGGGAATCTCTGTGCCTCAGACAGGCTTGTAAGGTCCCCAGTCTTCAAGGCCCACTGATCCTCTGTGTCCCTTCCAGGTGGGGCTGCAGAGCAGCAGGAGCTGGGCACTGGGAAGCAGTCAATGTTGCTGCGTGGCCTGGAGCCTGGCATGGACTATGAGGTGACGGTGAGCGCACTGTTTGGCCGGACCGTAGGGCCTGCCTCCACCCTGACCGCCCGCACTGGTGAGAAGCTGGGTGTCTTCAGTAGGCTGGGGTGGGGTAGGCAGGACAGGATGACTGACATCCATGTGCCCTGGACAGATCCTTCTGTTGAGCAGACCCTTAACTCGTTCATCCTGGGCCCCACGTCCATTCTCCTCTCCTGGAACCTGGTGCCTGAGGCTCGAGGCTACCGGCTGGAGTGGCGGCGTGAGAGCGGTCAGTGCAGGGGGCTCAGGGTGGACAGCCAGGGGTTGGGGCTGAGATTCAGCAGAGCTGACCTCGTTATCTTCCAGGCTTAGAACCACCAAAAAAGGTGGAGCTTCCCTCCAATGTGATCCGATATCAGCTGGAAGGGCTGCAGCCAGGCACTGAGTATCGTATCACTCTCTACACCCTGCTGGAGGGCCGGGAGGTAGCCACGCCTGCGTCGGTGGTCCCCACTGGTGAGGGCTTTGCGGGCATGGCCAGATGAGTGGGGAAGGTGCAGGGGCTCTGGCTGGCACTCACATGGAGCCCTCCAACAGAAACCGAGCAGCCCGTGGGCCAGGTGCTGGACCTACAAGCTGTCGAGCTGCCTGGACAGCGAGTGCGAGTGTCCTGGAGCCCAGTCCCCGGTGCCACTGAGTACCGCATCACCGTGCGCAGCATCCAGGGTGAGGTGGACAAGGCCAGCACCACTCCCTCCCATTAAAGTTCCAGCTCTCAAAGTCTTGCCCCTCATCCCATCCCTTTCCATTTGTGAGTCTCTATGGCCTCTACCCCATCTTCTTAAATCTCCACTTTCAAGGATGGTATTGAGCTCAGAATTGTCATATATAGGACCTTCCTGTCTGTGATAGACCCTTGTCATCCGTACCTATGTTGCTGTCCACTGACTCTAGACATCCTGTTTCCATCCATCCCTGATCTCTTACGACTTCATTTGATATCCCATATTGTTCCCTTATCCCCATGCCTAACTGACCTTTTGCATCCTGTATTCTTGACTACCATCACCCTATATCCCCGCTTTTTACTGAGTTCTGTCATCCTATGTCCTGATCCGTCACTGACTCCTGCCCACCCACCCCAACTTCTCCCTCAGGGGTTGAGAGGACCCTGGTGCTTCCTGGGAGTCAGACAACCTTCGACTTGGATGACGTCCGGGCGGGGTGGAGCTACACTGTGCGGGTGTCTGCTCGTGTGGGCTCCCGAGAGGGTAGCGCCAGCATCATCACCGTCCACCGTGGTGAGCACTGCAGACCCGTGCTGGGAGACAGCTGCCTGGAGTTCTCTGTTCCTGGTCCTGACCCCGATCTCTGTCTCCAACCCTCCCAGATCCGGAAGTCACGCTTGCCATCCCAAGGCTGCGGGTTGTGGCAACAGATGCAACTCGCATAAGAGTGTCCTGGGGCGCTGTTCCTGGAGCCAGCGGATTTCAGATCAGATGGGGGACAGACAGTGGTCAGTGGCGGGAGGTGTAGGAGGGGAGCTGAGGGGAATGATCAGGGTATAGGGACTGAAGGAGCAGGCCAACTCTTCTCTCTAAACTTAGGTCCAGAGTCTAGCCAGACACTGTCTCTAGACTCCACTGTCACAGACATCACAGGACTGAAGCCAGGAACCTCCTACAGGGTGACTGTGTCGGCGCTTCGGGGAAGGGAGGAAGGTCCCCTTGCGGTCATCACAGCTCAGACTGGTCAGAGCTTGAACAAACGCTTTGCCTTTCTGCCTCTATTTCCCCCACCAACCCAAGCCTCCAGGCTCAGACCCTTCCCACTCCCCTATCCTGCTTGCTTTCTCTCAAGCCCTGTTTCTTGAGCTCCACTGTCATTCTCCTAAGATCCCCGGTATCTTTGCCCTCAGAGCCCTCTACTGCCTTTTCTGTTGGACTTTTCCCTATTCTCTGATATTTACACTTGCTCCTTTGCCTGAGCCTATCACTGCTCTCCTTTCTAGCATCCCCATCAGATCCTCACCTGCTTTTTTGGTCACACGCATGTGTCTCTCCTATTCTATCATCTGCCTCCTCAGATCCCCACCACCTCTTCTGTCAGAACCTGTGCTCCTTCCCTTATCTGACTCCTTCACTATCAGGTCCTGTCTCCTGATAGAATCCTATAACCCTTCCTCAGCAGGTGGCCTCGGCCACCTTCCTTTTCAGGGAACTTTGGTGGCCTAGTGTGTAAGGAGTTGCACTGCTAACCCAAAGACACATGCTTTGAATCCACCAGCTGCTCCTCAGAAGAAAGACGGGCATTCTCCTTCTGTGTGATTTATAACTTCCATAAACCCACTTTAGGGTCACCTCTGAGATGGTTCTGACTCGATGGCACGTAATAACTTTCCTCTTCATGTCCTCCCGTTTCCTCTTCTATGACACCACTGCTTCCTCTGTCCAGACTCCTGCCTCCCCCATTAGACTACCTACTGCCTCTGCCGTCAGACCCCAGTTATCTCCCCCATCAAATGCTCCACTGCCTCTCTCCTTAGACCCACTAGGCCCAGTGACAGCAGTTCGTGTGACTCAGGCTGGAAGCTCATCTGTCACCATCAACTGGACCAGAGTTCCTGGAGCCACAGGATACAGGATCACCTGGCGCTCAGGCCACGGTGGGGACCAAGGGCTGAGAAGGGTCATGGAGGCAAATCTGGCTGGATTGGGGACTGGGTGTGTCCTGAGATGTCATTAGGATGGGACATAGGGAGACATTTGTCCCTCATCCCCACAAATGTCAAGGTGGAGGCATCACATAAGGTGACAAATGACATAAAAATTAAAGATGCTCGACCAGGGCAGCTGTACAAGAAGGGGCCAGGCATCTGTTCATCTTGAAATAGGGGGAGAGGTACCACTTAGCCATTCTCCCTGGGTCTTCATTATCTGCACTGGATTCCTGGCTATCTCAGGGGTCCAGGTGGGACACTGGGGGCAAAATCTGGCTGGTCTTGTAACTCTCATCCTCAATTCCAGGCCCAGAGAACTCCCAGCTGGTCTCTGGGGAGGCCACGGTGGCCGAGCTGGATGGTCTGAAATCAGATACAGAGTACACAGTGCACGTGCAGGCCCACACAGCTGGTGTGGACGGGCCTCCTGCCTCTGTGGTGGTCAGGACTGGTGAGTGGATCCTGGCTAGCTGCTTGTCATGCTTTGTCAGCTTCCCTGCCCTAGTGTGTACTCCTCACTGCTCCAGCTACCCCTTCCTGGGACTGTCCTGTTCACATGAACCCATCCCATGCTGACTGATTGTGTTAGGAGTCCCTATACTGACCTGCCCACACTAACCTCTTGGAGACAGTCAGACTGCTCCTAGGTTGACCCTGTTCACAGTGTCACCTTATTCTCTTCTGGCAACCTAGTGGTCCCTGGCCTTCACCTTGCCTCTCTTTCCAGCTCCTGAGCCGGTGGGCACAGTGTCAAAGCTGCAAATTCTCAACGCTTCCAGCGACGTTGTGCGTGTCACCTGGGTGGGCGTTCCAGGAGCCACAAGCTACAGACTGTCCTGGGGCCGGAGCGACGGTGTGTCCTTCAGGCCCCCACCTCTGCCCTTCCTGACCAAGACTGCCTTCTTCATTCAGCCATCTCCATCCTTGACTCTTGTCTTATGCTCACCTGACCAGGTGGCCCCAGGAGAGAGCAGATCCTCCCAGGAAACACGGACTCCGCTGAGATCAGGGGCCTTGAAGGTGGTGTCAGCTACTTCGTGCGCGTGACCGCGCTGGTGGGGGACCGCGAGGGCGCGTCAGTCTCTATCGTCGTCACCACACGTAGGTGGAGGTTGGACTTGGGCAAACCTTGGATGGGTGGCCTGCATTGTTTGGGAACCAGGTTTGTGTTTAGGATTAGGAAAGGGACCGGGGATTGGTCGTGAGCCTGTGGGGGGCGAGTCTGAGAGTGGAGAGCAATCCTGGGATAGGCAGAAGGGTCTCGGCTGTCAGTAGTGGGCGGGGCTTGTGCCGGACTTCGCCTGGGATTGGCGCAGGGGCCCTTGGGGGCGTGGCCTCCCTGATGGCGGTGTGTTTTCTCCTAAGCGCTGGAGGCTCCTCCACCCCTGAGGACCCTTCGTGTAGTGCAGCGCGGGGAGCACTCGCTGAGGCTGCACTGGGATCCAGTATCTGGGGCGCGTGGCTACCGTCTGCGCTGGCGGGCCGAAGGTGAGAGGTGCCTCCGGGTGGGAGTCAGGGAAGTTGAGAGATCATAGGTGGGTAGACAGGGTTGCTGGGGTGGCGAGGGTGGTGACAGTGGACGGGGTCCGCCAGTGGAGATCTGAGAGATCAGTGACAGTGCATAAGATCTGCAGGGTGATGGAACCGCTGAGGTGAAAATGGTCCTTAAAATCGACAGAGTCCAGAGGAATGAGTCCTTAGGATCAGTTGATGGTGGCATTTGTCCCCACCTTGGCACTTATCCCCTGCCCCTACCCTCTCACTTGCTTCAGGTGGCCAGGAGCAGTTCCATGATTTGGGCCCCGAGTCCAGCAGCTACCTCCTGGACGGACTGGAACCAGGAACCCAGTACCACATACGGCTGAGTGTCATGGGGTCAGCTGGAGAAGAGACCCCCACAGAGATCACTGCACGCACTGGTGAGAACACAGGGCCCACACCTGTCTTGGTGTGACTTCCCCTATTGATAGCCACCCTGATTTCTGGACCCTGTGACTCCTGAGTGACTCCTGCAGTTTCCCCCGTACTACCATGGGTCTGGGTTGACCCCAGCATCCCCTCCTGTTAGACTTCTGTCACTTCAAGGAGACACTCTGCCTTGGAAACCTCATCCCTCCACGTAATACCTAGGACATTCTCTCTGATCCCTGATCTCTCCTTCAGAGTCACCTCGAGTCCCAAGAACTGACCTTCGTGTAGTGGACACCTCCATAGATTCTGTGACTCTGGAGTGGACTCCAGTATCTGGGGCATCTAACTACATTTTATCCTGGCGGCCACTCAGAGGCCCTGGTCAAGGTGAAGGGAGGCCAGGGTTGAGATGGGCTGGCATTTTGGAGCTCCCTAAAGGGCTTGTTGTTTAACAGAGTTCTGTCCCTGCAGAAGTTCCTGGAACCCCACAGACACTGTCGGGGACCTCAAACTCTCAGCGAGTGAGAGGGCTAGAGCCTGGTGTCTCCTACATCTTCTCCCTGACACCCATCCAAGGGGGTGTTCGGGGTCCTGAGGCCTCTGTCACACATAACCCAAGTATGATGGACATAGTTTGGGGGGAACTCAGAGGGTACTAATAGGCTGGCCACCTTCGTAACTCGGCCTCCTTCCTGCAGGGTGCCCCCAGGGCCTGATGGACGTGGTGTTCCTATTGCACGCCACTCGAGATAATGCTCACCGATCAGAGGCTGCAAAGAGGGTCCTAGAGCGTCTGGTGTCTGCCCTTGGGCCCCTTGGGCCCCAGGCAGTTCAGGTTTGTCCTCAGAGACAGTCCAGACGCCTGTCTTTGCCTCCCCAGACTTTGCATCAGCTGCCACCCTCTACCCTACCGGTCACTCAGACTCCCCTCATGTTCTACATCTCACCTGCTCCTTGTCAGGTCAATGCTTCTGTTATTAACTTCTGGGGAAATAAAGGTTTTTTATTAGCGGTGTAGCACACTATAAACTATACCACCAGAAAGATTTACACTGTCATGATTGACTCTTTTTTTTAAAAAAAAACAGATTGGGGGAGCTCTGGTGGCCTAGTGGCAAGAAGCTGCACTGCAATCCCAGAGGAACACGGTTCGAATCCACCAGATGCTCTGCCGGAGAGGGAGGCGCAATATCCTCCTGTACCAGTCAGATCTGATTTGACGGTACACACACACAAAATAATAATAATAAAAAAAAATTTAAAAAAGTTAAAAAAAACCCAGATTGCCAGATTGACTCTTTTTTTCAAACATGATTTTTTTTTAAATTTATTTTATTATTTTTTGTGCATGTACCATCAGTCGGATCTGACTGGTACGGAAGAAGATTGCCCCTCACCACGTACCTCTGCGATCGCAGTGCAGCTTCTTGCCACTAGGCCACCAGAGCTCCCAAACATGATTTTTTTTTAATTAATTTTAATAAACGTTTACAGAGACTTTGGATTTCTGTTCATTCATTGTTGCACTTTTCTCCCTGCCCACCCCTGCAAACATGATTGACAATATAGTTCAGGCTGACTCATACCCACAGACTTTGTGCATCCCACCCCAGTGTGGTATCCCTTGACCTTTACTCTGTATTCCCCCGGATTCATCCCTGCTCCATCATCCCCCCATCCTTTATGTCCCTGCTCTGACCCTCTCATCCTCTAGGCAGTGTGTCCCCCACTCCTTCCCCATCAGTGCCCCAGGCTCTGTTCCCCACCTCTACCCCTGTTCTATCTTTCCCCTCAAGTTTTGTGTCCCTCCATCACTTCTTTGCCATCCCTCCAGCCAGGATCTGTATCTTCTTCCTCCCCAGGTTGGCCTTCTGTACTATAGCCACCGGTCCTACCCGCTGTTCCCACTGAACAGCTCCTACGATCTTGGCATCATCCTGCAGAAGATCCGTGACATCCCCTATACAGACCCAAGTGGGAATAACCTGGGTGAGGACTGCAGTCGGCGTGGACTCGTGGAACTTTCTCATTGAGCACTTAATGCCCAGGGTTCTGACAGGTCCTTCCTTCCAGCTGCAGCCGTGATCATGACTCAAGCCCGCCTGTTGGGACCAGATGCACCTGGGCGCCGCCACCATGCCCCAGGGGTGATGGTTCTGTTAGTGGACGAGCCATTGAGAGGTGACATCTTTGGTCCCATCCGTGGGGCCCAGGCTGCTGGTGAGAAGTGAGGCTGGTGGGAATGGGGTCTGGGAGTAGAGGTGGACCCAGCAGGGTTATCATGCAAGCTACCGACCCCCTTCTTTAGGGATCAATGTCATGATACTGGGCCTGGCGGGAGCTGACCTGGAGCAGCTGCGTCGCTTGGTGCCCGACATGGGCCCTGTGCAGACTTTCTTTGCTGTGGATGATGGCCCAAGCCTGGATCAGGCTGTCAATGGTTTGGCGACAGCATTGTGTCAGGCAGCATCAGGAACCCAGGTTAGGAGAAGACTTGTGAAGGGCTAATTGGGAGCAGAGGAAAGATGGAGTGTCTTGGTAGAACTCTTTGACTTCAGTGAAACCCTTTGCCTACAGCCACAGCCGGGGCCTTGCACTGTCCACTGTCCAAAGGTAAGTGTCCTGGGGTTGGGAGAACACGTGAGGGCCGTATAGGACCAACCTACTCTGATCCTTAACAACATGTCTTTCCCCAGGGCCAGAAGGGAGAACCTGGAGAGATAGTGAGTGGCTCTACTGGGGGACTAGAGAATGGATTTTGGGGCATCAGTGCGGTTCAGGAAACTTGCCAACACAGGACTCACTGATCTCTCTTCTTAGGGTCTCACAGGACAACCTGGGTCCCCAGGGCCCCCTGGCCTTCCGGTAAGTTCCTCCCCACATATGTTCTCTGTGCCCCACTGGTTTATCACCTCCTGACCCCTGTCTTCTTTCAGGGCAGGACTGGTGCTCCAGGCCCCCAGGGACCACGAGGAGGCACCAATGCAAAGGGCGACAGGGTGAGTGTGGAGACCATTGAGGTTCCCGTGGGCCCTCCTCCAAGTATCCTCAAGATTTTTAGGAGAGAGAGTGGAAAAGTAGAATTAGAAAGACAAGTATTCTTAGAAGCCTGAGTGGACATTGTAAATAGCAGAGACTTTTGGGGGCCGGCGGGCAGTGGATTTTACAGTCCTCTGGTGAGTCTTGGTAGGAGCTCTTAGTCCCAGAGGAAGCGCAGGCCTTTGACCTCATCACTGTCATGGTATTTGGGATTGGGCTTCATTCCGTTCTGAGTAGCCACTTTTCTGTCACACTCTTTCACCTTTGACAACACAGAGGCACCTGTTTGCGCCTCTAGCAAACCTGGGTGTTGAGGGGGTGTCCCCCATGTTCTGACCTCTTTGATCCTAAGGGCTTCCCTGGAGCAGATGGGCGTCCTGGCAGCCCTGGCCGCCCCGGGAATCCTGGGAGCCCTGGCCCAAAGGTGAGCAAGCCTGGTCCTTGTGGACCATTTGGTGGACTCAGTAGCGCCACCCAAGGGACAGTGCCTGATCCAGAGGGAGTGATGGGGGTCTGACTGTGACAATCCTTTCACAGGGCTCCCCAGGGTGGCCTGGCTCTCCTGGGCAAACGGTAAGGTGTCTTCCCCTCCCTACTGTCCTGTTCTTTTTGCTGGGTGGGGAGCCCCATGGGTGGAGCAGTGCTGGCCCATTGTTGCGGGGTCAGGGGAGCCTCAGGACTCCCCACCACTCTGCTCTGTTTTGTCTCCAGGGAGAGCGAGGGCCTCGAGGCCCAAAAGGGGAACCGGTAAGTAAAAGAGAAAGGGTGGTGTGGAGTAGGGGACCTAGAGCCCAGAGTGTCCTACTGAGAAGCAGTTCCCTGAGGACAGATCTGTGTAGTGACAGAGTCACTCAAGACTACCTGAATTCTGAATCCTGAATTCTGCTCATTGCTCTCCGCTCCTGCAGGGGGAACCTGGACAAGTCTTTGGAGGGGAGGGGCCCGGCCTTCCTGGGCAGAAAGGAGAACCTGGACCTTTCGTAAGTTCCATGACATGTAGGGATGGCTGCTGGGTGGTTGGGGGTATCAACAAGATGTGGCAAGAGTCAGAGTTCCACCGTATACCTGTCTCTTCTCTTCCATCAGGGCCCCCCAGGACCTCCTGGCCAAGTTGGAGGACCAGGACCCCGGGGTCCCCCAGGACTTCCTGGAACATCCTTGAAGGTGACAGCATGACCCATAGGTGGTCCCATGATCTCTCAGTGATCCAGGGACTGAGTGGCCCTATTTGAACCCCAAACAATTCCTTTCAGTTGCTTTGAGCCCATGTGACCTTTTGACCCCTCCTGTCATGATTCCTCAGCTCCCCTAGTAACCCAATTTGACCCTATGACCTCTCATCACCCCTGGTATCTTGGGGAGATGTGATCCAGTGTCACACGGGATTGTGGTTTGTCTTCCAGGGTGACAAAGGTGATCGTGGGGAAAGGGTAAGTGGGGCAAAGTAGACTGGGGATAACTTGGGGTCTGAGCCCCCTGTCTCTATCTTCTGATTCAGTCTTTTCTTCCAGGGCCCCCCTGGACCGGGTCTTGGTGACACTGTTTTGGGGGAGCCAGGACTGCCGGTGAGGGGCCCTTAAGGTTCTGCTGGAGAACTTGGGGTATAGATAGGGGAGCTGGGGTGGGAGTATGGCTAGAGTGGTGGGCAGATACTAGATATTAAATGCTGGCCTCATGTCTTCATTCTCTTCCCTGTAGGGCCTTCCTGGACCTCAAGGCCCAATTGGCCCCTCTGGAGAGAAAGGAGAGAAGGTAGGAGCTCTGACCTCTTCTTTTTTTTTTTTAAGAAAGCCTAAAACAGCTTTAAGGGAGCTCCCGGGTGAGATTCCTTGGTCTGGAGAGAGAGCTAGACCAGAGAAAACCTCCTGACCTCTTGTGTTCCGGTTCTGGCTTGGAGGCTCTGAATGTTGCAGGGCCGAATCTTTCCTTGATCTTCCTGCTCCCACTTCCCCTTCAGGGTGACTGTGAGGACGGAGCCCCAGGCCTTCCAGGACCACCTGGGATGCCAGGTCAGCGGGTGAGTATAGGACCCAGGAGTTCTGAGTGTGATGGGCATAGCCCCAGCCCCTGCCTTCCTGTGAACTCCTAAATTCATTGCTTGCAGGGCCCACGTGGACCTCCTGGAGTTGTTGGTCCCAAAGTGAGTGCTGGTTTTGGAGGGACTGGGCTTGGGGAGGCTGAAAGGTCAGGGTTTGAGGATAAATGTTCCTTCCAGAATATGAGTGTGTCGTTTCAGAGTGGGGAATGACTCCTTGTCCAGGTGTTAACTGTGTAACTCACCTCCCTTCAGGGTGCCCAGGGGCTGACAGGGAGCTCGGGGGAGCCTGGAGAAAAGGTACGTGTGGCCCAGGGGGTGCTCAGAGACTTGGAGAGTCAGGCCTGGACTCACCTCTGACCTCTTTTGTTCTATTAGGGTGAACACGGTCCACCTGGCCCAGCGGGGCCTCGGGTGAGTCCACTAACTCCAATGCCACTTTCAAGTGGCCTGGCTCTGTGTCCCCTTTGGGCTCTTGACATCATTTCTCCCTGTCCTCCTGCTCCTCTGTGCCTGTTTGCATGACTGTTGATCCCATCCAATGCACCTTTGACCCTTAACCCCCGCTGATCTAAATTTTGATCTTCCGTGACCCCTCTCTAGCTCCACCTCCACCCCACCCTTCTGCCCTTGTTTGCCACAATCCCCCATCCCCAATTATCTATGTCAGTCTTTCGGTTCCTCTTTCCCAGGGCCTCCCAGGACCTGTAGGACGTCCTGGACCTGAGGGTCCGGAGGTGAGTCTAAGAAGTGGCAGAACCAGGAATGGGTCCTTTTCATGTTCCTCTTGCACCCTAACTCTTCTGGGCTCACTCTCTCCATGTGCAGGGGCCACCAGGACCCGCTGGCCGCCGAGGAGAGAAGGTGGGTCTGTGGGCCGGTGCCAGGGACACAGCAGGTGGGACACGGGTTCCTAGGTGGGTCCCTGACACATCCCTGTATCTTTCCTCTCTCCACAGGGGGAGCCTGGTCCCCCTGGGGACCCTGCAGTGGTGGTAGGTGAAGAGAGGATGGGACTCTACGTGCAGCACCGTCACTTGAGCAGTGACGTCCTTGTCACTAATTCTGAACCCTGAGACCCTGGGCAGGCTCAGAGCTCTGGGTCTCCTGCTACAATCCATCCCCCCAGACTCCTGGCTCTGATTCTGTGACTTAAGACCCCATGACAGGGCATGAGCCCCATTTCCCATAACCCCAGCTTTGGCCCCATGACCTTTGGGAAGAGGTTAAGCTCTAATTCCCAGGTCAGTCCTGGCTGTGGTCCCCTCTGGTCTCGGACAGGAGCAAATTGTGTCTGTTTGTTTTCAGGGACCTTCTGGTGATGGAGTCAAGGGAGAGAAAGTAAGCCTGGTGTGGGTGAGGGAGGGTGTTACGGGGCTGAGGGCAAGGCTGGAGCTCTGTACCGGGGCCTGCCCTCAAGGTCACAAGAGTTGAAGCATGATGGTTGGAGCTTGGCTGGTGTAATGGTCTTTGTCACTTCCAGGGAGAAGTGGGGCCCACTGGGCCCAAAGGAGCTGCTGGCATTAAAGGGGAGCGGGTGAGTGAGGGGGAGTGGTGAGGCCGCGGGGAAGGCAAAGACTGTAGTGTCCTCCTGACTTTGCTTCTTTTTTAAAAAAAATCTTATTAATTTTAATGAACGTTTACAGAGATTCTGGATTTCCATTCATCTATTGTTGCATTTTTCTCCCTGCCTACCCCTCCTCCTGAGGTCGCTCTTCTCTTTGAAAAGTGAAAGTTTTTCATTGGTATACAATCTCCTCCCGCCAGTACACTCCACTATGCAACCTCCGTTCTGGACTCTTGTCATAACCATAATTCCTAATCATATTTCTCTTTTAAACAGTTCTCTCCCTCATCTGTTTCAATGCAGTATACATAGTTTATCCAATCTTTCTCAGTCTCAACCCAACCTTGATGTCAGTCCCGTTCTACAACAGTGGCACTATGCAGTATTTGTCCTTTAGTGACTGAGATATTTCACTCAGCATAATGTCCTCCCGGGTCACCCATTTTTAATAATATTGCATGAGTTCCTGGTTTTTCAATGCTGCGTAATATTCCTTTGTGTGAATATACCAGAGCTTCTCTATTCATTCGTTTGTTGATGAGCACTTAGGTTGTTTCCAGCTCTTTGCTATTTTGAACAAAGCCATAATAAACATGGGTGTGCATATTTGACTTCACTTCTTTTCATCCACAGGGACTACCTGGTTTGTCGCCTCCTGGAGACCCTGGTCCCAAAGGAGATCCTGGAGACCGGGTGGGTAAAGGTGGGAGTAGAGGCAAGGCAGAGATGAGGTGAGAGCCCAAGAGCCTCAGTTAAGTCCTGTCCCCCTTCCTCACCCCCTCCAGGGCCCTATTGGCCTCACTGGGAGAGCAGGACCCCCGGTGAGTAACTTTGACCTTGTATCTGGAATCTCAAGGGCTCCTGTCCTGTGTTACCTCACTTCTACCTTCTCCACAGGGTGGCCTGGGGCTTCCTGGAGAGAAAGGAGACACTGGGCGGCCTGGACCCCCAGGGCCTATTGGTCCCCGAGGACGCGATGTGAGTGACCTGAAGGCTGGGGAGTCAGGGGGTGTAGTCACGGGCTATAGTTGGCACCACTGAGGGTCTGGGGCCTGGACTGACTCTCATGTTTCTCAGGGTGAAGTTGGAGAGAAAGGTGACGAAGGCCCCCCGGTGAGACTGCTCCCCACTGTGCTTTTCTGATCCTTCACCACTCACTGTGATCCTGATATGGGCTGTCCCCCCAGGAAATCTAGTCCACCCCCTTGCCCCCTGTCCAGCTGTGCTCACCCTTTCCCTTCCCGACTCCTTGAGTCAGCCAGATCCTGAAGCATTTACTCTCTCCATCCCCAGGGTGAACCAGGTTTGCCTGGAAAAGCTGGCATTCGGGTGAGATTTGGTGGGAGGAGAAAGGGGGATGATGGGAGAACCTTTAGAACTGGGCTCAAAGGTGTTGGGAAATCCTGAGGGAGACAAAGGGTGACAAAGGGTGTTGGAGAAATTGGGATGGAGGAGAGACACTGCAGGGAGGCATGGGGCAAGGGAAAACACTGCACAGATTTTGAGAGTGCTGAGGTGCCCATGGCAGAAGGCAACAAGCTGTGAAATGTCAGGGAGATAGATGTGTCTCAGACAAGCTGCTCTTCTACTAGGGGCCACCTGGAGCTCGAGGGCCTGTTGGGGAGAAGGGAGACCAGGGAGATCCTGGAGAAGATGGGCGAAATGTGAGTCCTAACCTCTGACCCCTGATCCCAACCTCAACCTCCCAATTGTCCAGTTTCCAATGCCTAGGGAGCTCGATGGCCTGGTGGTAAGAAGCTGCGTTGCAATCCCGAAGGCAGGCTGTTCAAATCCACCAGCTGCTCCATGAGAGAGAGATTGGCAGTCTCCCTCCCATGTGATTAACTGCCTCTGAAAACCCTCTGGAGGGTCAGCTATGGGTCGGTTCTGATTCATCAGCACATAACAACAACAACAGCAACAAGTCCTGCCACCCCGTGATGCTAAACCAACATCCTCTCGTCCTGTGACTTCTTTGTCACACCTCCCCTAGAAAGCCTTCCAGATTCCCCATGAATCTTATTGGTGCTTTTAAAGCCCCCTGCCCCCTCTGCTCCAACTGCAAATGACTGACTTTCTGGCTTTCTGTAGGGCAGTCCTGGAGCCTCTGGACCCAAGGGTGACCGTGGGGAGCCGGTGAGTAGTGCCAGGCTTCTGAGTCTGGGGGGATGGGGATTGGAGATTTCCCTTGTGCTGCTGCCAGTGCTCTGAACAGCACCTCACAAAAAGACTTGGAGGTCAAGGTAGAGGGAGCACTGGCCATCTGGGGCCTGGTCTGCCTGCGGGGCCTTGACATTGAGGTGCTGTGGGAAATGTTAGTCCAGAGTAGAGTTTACAGTTTACAGCAAGCTTGAGGTATGACCTGGGACCTCGGGGATTCTGCTGACTTGAATTATTTCCTTTTCTAGGGTCCCCCAGGACCCCCTGGACGGCTGGTAAGGATTGAACTGAGTCTGGTCTTCTGTCAACCTCTGTCTCTCTGACAACTTCTATCAAGTAAATCTGGTCATCTGTCAACCCCTTGCCTTCTTGATACCCCCTCATTGACTCCCCTTCCCACCTAGTCTACCTCTCCTATTGAACCATTCTTCTCACTGGTCATTCTCCTCACAGGTGGACACGGGGCTTGGAGCCAGGGAAAAGGTACAAATAAGGGTGGAGTGGGTGGAATGAAGCTGTGATTATGAGAAGGGAGCCCAGTATCCCTCATGACAGGTGGCTAAGTGCAAGTCTCTCAGTAAGCTTGTCTTTGATGCAGGGAGAGCCTGGGGAACGTGGACAAGAGGGTCCTCCAGGACCCAAGGGTGACCCTGGCCCCCCTGGAGTTCCTGGGGAGAGGGTGAGTTTGATGGACCTGGGGGTGGGATGGGTCTCTAGGAGTGCCCCTAACGCTTCACTTCCTCCTCCACCCTCAGGGCATCGGCGGAGTTCGGGGACTCCCAGGCCCACAGGTGAGTGATGCTTTATCTCATTACTTGACGTTCCCATTTCACCCCCACCTCTCATCTAACTTTGTTCCCTCCAGGGGGACCCAGGTGTCCGAGGCCCGACAGGAGAAAAGGTGAGACGGACTGAAGGCTTTTGGGGACATGAACCTGAACTCTGACATCTCTCAGCCTTCCTGTCAGTGGGCAAGCCCCTCACCACTGTTTCCTGCTCAGGGTGATCGGGGCCCATCTGGGCTGGATGGCCGGAATGGGCTGGATGGGAAACCAGGAGCCGCTGGCCCCCCTGGATTGCAAGTGAGTCATCGTGGTTACGCCTCTTTTCATCCTTCACGTGACAACCCAACTTCAGTGGGGTTGCTTGACCTTGATGAGCTCTAGGGCCACATGTGCTGTGTCTTCTAGAACCCTGCCCGAGTAGGGGACGTGACAGCCCTGAGTTCACAGGAACTCATGGCCCTATTGGAATCCCTGGGTGATGCACATGGCTAATGTGCTTGGCTGCCAACTGAAAAGTTGGTGTTTCAAGTCTACCCAGATGTTCACTGGAAGAATAGGCTGATGATCTAACTCAGAAAAATTAACCAAACCCCACGGAGTACAGCTCTGCTCTGATGCCCTTGGGGCCATCATGAACAGGAGTTGACGCGAGAGCTGCTGGTTTGTTTACCTTTTTGGCGTCAGTGAGATTGACTCAAGATAGGACAAGCTTTAGAGCTATTGTGCATAGGGTCACTATGAGTCACAGGGGACTTGATGACCACATAACAACAACAACAACAAGAATGGTCCTGTCAGTGGGCAGGTGAGTCTGTGGTGTACTCCCTGACTTTGAGTTTCTCCTCAGGGTGCTACGGGCAAAGCTGGGGACCCAGGGAGAGACGTAAGTAAGGGAAGATGCTAGGTTGGAGGGTGGCCCAGGAGTCCAGCTCAGCTGGATCACTGTTGTCACAAAATCAGCAAGAACAGGGGGAGCTGATGCAGCCCTGTCCTCACGGGGGTCCCCGGCTCTGGCAGTCCTCCTCTCTGACCGTCCATGTCAAGGAGGTCTTAGCAGGGCCCCCAAGTTCTGCAATTTCTTCCCTTATGAATCTCAGCAGATGTCCCCCTAACCCATGAGGTCTCTGGAGATCTCAACAGGACCTTCTAAATTCTAAGGGTTTCTGCACTGGAGAAGAATTGGATTCCTCCATCTTGATTCTAGTAAACATATTTTCCAGGGACTTCCAGGCCTCCGAGGAGAACAGGGACCTCCCGGGCCCCCAGGACCTCCTGGAACAGTGGTGAGTCCAAGCTTCCACCTTACCCTCTTACCTCATGATTACCATTTCTCTAGCTCTGACCTCTAACCTGTTTCCCACAGGGAAAGCCAGGGGACGATGGCAAACCTGGTCTGAATGGGAAAAACGTGAGTGTCTGGGGCAGCCCTGGTGAAACTCACCAACACCTACCTGTACAGAACCTAGAGGCGCAGATGCATGGGGGCACACATGCAGACTGGTGGGTCAGTGCCTGTGCCCAGCCTAGACCGACAGCTATGTCCTGAAACACACATCCAAGTGCACATGTACTTAGCCTTCCAGACAGATGCATAACGAGGAAGGTGCATGGGTGACTCATGCCGAGATGGACCTCCACTGACTGAGACAAGCCATAGGTGCAGGTATAGGCTAAGAGTCATGCGGTCAGGTTGAGATGTGCAGATACACTGGCATGAAGCTCTGTTCAGGGACACTTGGAGGCACGTTGAAACTCAGACGGCTCCACCCTAGACTCCTAAGTATGTGCTAAGACACAGGTACAGTGCTCTTTTTTTTTTTAAATTATTTTGTTTGTGTGTACCGTCAAATCAGATCTGACTGGTACAGGAGGAGATTGCTCTTCCTTCTCCAGCACAGCATCTGGTGGATTCGAACCTCTGGGATTGCAGTGCAGCTTCTTGCCACCAGGCCACCAGATCTCCCTGGTGCAGTGCTCTTTTGAGGCAAAGATGATGAAGCTTCATTTGACACATTTTGGGCACGTGATTAGAAGTTATTCCTTGGAAAGGGACATCATGCTTGAGTAGGTAGAGGGGCAACAAAGAGAGGAAAACCTTTACCCAAATGGGTTGACGTGGTGACTGTGGCACTGGGCTTGAAAAGTGTCAGAGGTGCCGGGAGCTCTGGTGGCCTAATGGCAAAAAGCTGCACTGCAATCCCAGACGTACATGGTTCAAACCTACCAGATGCTATCCTGGAGAAGGAGGCAATCTCCTCCTGTGCCAGTCAGATCTGATTTGACTGTACACACACACACAGAAGAATAATAATAAAAAAAGAAAGTGTCAGAGATGGTGAGGATGGTATGAATTGGACAGTGTTCAGATCAGTTGTTCATAGGGTCACTATGAATCATGCTTGACGGCACCTAACAATAACAACAAGACACAGATTTAGAGACATTTAGGGACCTGTGCTGGGACATGAGGGCAGGACACACGTCCATGATCCTGACATTTGACACGTGCATTTATGCCTATTCATGCTATACACATAGAGGTTACACAAGGCTTACAGACAGACGTTCCCAGACCATTATCTAGGCACCAAGGACATGCAGACACTTATCTCTCCCATGCAATCTATTCCCTTCTGTGCCAAGGTGTGTAGACAGGCTGAGACCCACATGTCCACCCGCTAAGACCCACACGCACCCAGCACCTGCAAGTACTCACCAGCCCTAGAGGTGGATTTCAGTCTAGAAAGCCCGAGTCTGGAGTCTGTGTGCAGTGACACATTGGGGTGAGCACATCCAAGCAGGCACACCCTTAAACACACACCAGCTCACTCAGACATACACGGGGCACACTCCCCAGACACGCAGAGGCGTGGAGTGACACGTACAGACAGTCATCTCAGATCCGCCCAGACAACCTCGCAGCCAGAAGCTGGAGGGTGTTTGGGTTGATGCGAGTCCTCTGCCTGCAGGGAGAACCCGGCGATCCTGGCGAAGACGGGAGGAAGGTAAAGCCCTCCGGCCTGGGGGTTTGCTCTGATCTCATATGGGCCCATGTCTGAAGCACCATTGTCTTCTATAGGGAGAGAAGGGCGATTCGGGTGCCCCTGGGAGAGATGTAAGTGCTGAGCTGAGCTCTCCTTCCCTCTCTGGCCTTGACCTTAACCCTGAGAGACACAGCTCTACTCTCTAGGGTCTCAGGGTCCTGAAACTGGCTGCATCCTCCACAGGGTCGTGAGGGCCCCAAGGGTGAGCGTGGAGCTCCCGGTAGCCCTGGATTCCAGGGTCCCCCGGGCCTCCCAGGGCCAGTTGGTCCCTCTGGTCAGGTGAGTGGCCCTGGTAGTTCTGGGACTCGGGAGCAACAGAAGCCATGGATTCTGTGTGACTCCTTTGTCTTCTGTCATTTCTCAGGGCTTTCCTGGCGTCCCAGGAAATATAGGTCCCAAGGTGAGTCTGTGTATGCTGGTTAGAGGTACAGTGAGGGACTGACCAGAGTTGTAAGGCATTTGACCTGGTTGATTATGCTCTGTTCTCAGGGTGACCGTGGGGAGATTGGTTCCAAAGGGGAACAGGTGAGGCCCTTACTCTTTTCTTTTGTCCCAGTGGCCACAGCCTACACACACACACACACACACACACACACAAGCTGGGTCCTAGCAGCTTGTCTCTTGGCCCCTAGGGCCTCCCTGGAGAGCGTGGCCCAAGAGGAGAACCTGGGAGCACAGCAGTGAGTGAACCTTGGGGCTCCGTTCCTGACTCTTACCTGGGCGCCACATGGCCCACCTCTCCATCCCCTTGCTTCACCATGATGCTCTGGGATCTCCCCTGTAGACTCAGCCCCTGGTCCCCTTGGGGACTGGATAGCTTACACCCAACTGGCAAGAAGGCATGTCAGAGAGAGGCTCCCACCTTACGTCATCCTTCATTTGCTTCGACCAAGAGATGAAGGACGGTCTGGGCAGGAGGCCTGGACGAGGGCATGCAGTCTGCCTGAGGGGCCAATGTGGGGAGGAAGCTTTCTGTGGGTGTCTCCTCACTCAGCTTTTGTCCCCAGAATGTGGAGCGGTCCCTGGAAGCTGTTGGGATCAAGGTAGGGTGTTTAGGGACTGAGGTTTGGGGCTGGTGGTACCCTTGGGACCCAGGGGAAGTTGTGGTTTTGAACCTTGTCGTCTCTCAGATGTCTGCTCTGCGGGAGATTGTGGAGACCTGGGATGAGAGCTCTGGCAGCTTCCCGTCTGTGATTGAGCGGCGCCGAGGCCCTAAGGGGGAGCCAGGAGAGCGGGGACCCTTGGGCAAGGAGGTGATTGATTGGTGGCAATTCAGTGGGGTGTGCCCCTGGGAGGTGTGGCTGTGTGGACCCCAGCATTCACTCTTATTCTGCAGGGTCCCATCGGCCTTCCTGGAGAACGTGGGCTGAAGGGAGAGCGTGGAGACCCTGGTCCTCAGGGGCCGCCGGGCTTGGCTCTTGGGGAGAGGGGCCCTCCTGGACCTCCTGGCCTTGCCGGGGAGCCTGGAAAGCCTGGTATTCCTGGACTCCCAGGCCGGGCTGGGACTGTGGGGGAAGCAGGAAGGCCAGGAGAGAGGGTGAGCTGGGGCTGGCCTTGGGGAGGGCCGAGAGAGTGGGGTCTGGACTCTCTATGAATGGAGTCCACACATTACTGTTTGCATTTTAGGGAGAACGGGGAGAGAAAGGAGAGCGTGGAGAACAGGTGAGTTGGGATGAGGCTCCCCAGAGTGGGGGCTGCTGGAGTCTGTGCTTGAGGCCCCAATCCACCAATTTCCTTCTCTGCAGGGCAGAGATGGTCCTCCCGGCCTTCCTGGACCCCCGGGCCCCCCTGGCCCCAAGGTGATCACCCCAGCCCTCTCCTGATTTGTGTCTGCTGTCACCAGGAGGTCGTCTTTGACCTGGACTCCAGAAAGTTCCAGTGTCTCTGACCCCAGAACTCTGCAACCTTGTGATCTGTGATGATCTTCTGTTGTCTCTGTGACCTTGACTTTATGCTTATAGGTGGCTGTGGATGAGCCAGGTCTTGGACCCTCTGGAAAACCAGGACCCCCTGGACTGAAGGGCACTAAGGTCAGTGGGATTCCCCCGGACGGGGTCCCCGGGTTGGAGCACCAAGGCCTGACTTGACGTCTCATTCCTGCAGGGGGAGCCAGGCATCGATGGTGACCGAGGCCCCAAAGGAGACAGGGTGAGGTCTCCCGCGTGCTGCCCAGGCTCTATGGGAATGTACCAGGGGCAATGGGCCTATGTACACAGCGCACTGGAAGAAGTGAGCACTCAGACCTGATGCTCTGCTTGCAGGGTGTGCCAGGTGCCAAGGGAGACCGGGGCGAGCTCGGAGAGAGGGGGCACACTGGCAGCCCGGTGAGTCTGTGCCCTATAGGTCACACACATACAGAGACAAGGCTCTTACAGGTGCTGTCCTATGTCCCTTGTCCAGGGGGGCTCTGCTGCCTAGAGGGAGGGTGGGTGGAGGAGAAGCAGGGCCTGGAAGACAGGGGCAGTGTGGCCTTACTCCGTTCTCTTCCCAGGGACTACCAGGAGAGCGGGGTGTGGCTGGGCCTGAAGGGAAGCCGGTAAGTGAGGGGAGAGGTGTCCTGGCCCAGGGTCCGGGTAACAGTAGTGTCAGAGTCCTGAGCCTCGCCCACCCTCTACTATGTGCTGGTTGCCGTGTGTGTGTGTGTGTGTGTGTGTGTGTGTGTGTGCGTGTGCCTGTGTGTGTAGATGGGTGATGTCTGAAGGAGGTAGATCATCTGTGTGCACAGGCTCCTGCTATGCCCATGGGTGCCTGGTGCCCTCAACAGTGGCCAGTGTAGTGAAGGGCTGCGTCTGGGAGGAATGGAGGCTTGGAAGACCCCTTCAACAGGCTCAGGTGAGGGCCAAAGTGAGGCTCAGCACCCCCTTCTCTATCTAGGGCCTGCAGGGTGAGAGAGGAGCCCCTGGCCCCATGGTGAGTACCCTAGAACCCTCACTCTTCTTGTGCCCATCCTATGCCCAGCCTCAGCAAGGTGCTGTCCTGCCTGTTTCCCAGGTGAGATGAGACTGACTCGCCTCAAATTCTCCCGTCTTCATACTCTTTCTCTCCTCAACAGGGTGGCCATGGAGACCCTGGACCACCTGGTGCCCCGGTGAGTGACAGAGAGGACCGCCTGGAGGGATGGGATGGACATTGTCCCCACTAATGAGCCGGGTCTTGTTTATGCCTGTCCCTGATCCCAGAACCAGAACTCTGACCCCTGACCTTTGGCCTTGACATTTTTCTCTAGGGTCTTGCTGGCCCTGCTGGCCCTCAGGGACCTTCTGGCCTGAAGGTGAGTGTGTGCGGGCATGTTTAGGTATGTGGCTGCACCTCAGATGACATCTGCCAGCCTCTTGGGGTGTCCCTGTCCTGGAGTGAAGCTGAGCACTGAGGTGTTCCCCATTCTGTGTGTGTGACCTTGGTGGGAGGAGCTGCTGGTCCTGTGGGATCATTTGATCTCTGTCCCTTTGCAGGGGGAGCCTGGAGAGACAGGACCACCAGGACGGGTGAGTGGCCCAGTCCATGGTTTGGGTCACAAAGGGACGGGCAGGATTGGAGCTGCCCTGACCTTCTTCTTCCCTCAGGGCCTGCCTGGACCTACGGGACCTGTGGGACTGCCTGGCCCCCCTGGCCCTTCAGGCCTTGTGGTGAGTGAGTCCCCTGTGCCCTCTGAGGAGATACCATGGATATCCAGGGTATCTTGGGTTCCGGGTTCTACCATGTCCTTTATCCTTGTGCCCCTTGTCACCCCTCACTTTCCTCCTAGGGCCCACAGGGGGCACCAGGTTTGCCTGGACAAGTGGTGAGTCCTGGGGACAGTGGCTGGGCTGGGTCCCGGGGATCAGAGCTCAGTGGGCTGGCTCCTGACAGTCTCTCTCTCAGGGCGAGACAGGGAAGCCGGGAGTGACAGGTCGAGATGGCACCAATGGGAAGGATGGAGACAGAGGAGCCCCTGGCGTGCCGGTGCGTTCTGGGAGAGCTTGCTCCAGGCCCGTTGTGGGGCCCTGTGCCAGCTGTGGGCCTGAAGGGGAAACAGGCCACAGCAGCAGGGTGCTGGAGAGGCACAAGTTCCTCATTTTGTTTTTGTGCAGGGACCACCAGGCCTGCCTGGACCTGTCGGACCCAAGGGAGAAGTTGGACCCATGGGCCCTCCCGGACAGGTGATCTTTGACCCTGCTTCCCACTGTAGCACCAACTCCCTTGACCACTCCTTCAGTTTTCACTTCCCAGGGGGGACTTCAGGGTTGACGGGAGAGGGAGTAGGCTGGGTAGCTCACTAGGCATTGCCCCCAGGCGCTGATTGGACCTCCTGGAGCAAAAGGAGAGAAGGTGAATATGTGGGAGGCCTGGATGGAGGGGCCAAGTGGAGGGGAGGGGCCAAGGAGCCCACTGACCCCTCTCCTTATCAGGGAGCCCCTGGAGCCTTTGCTGGAGAGCTGGTGGGTGAGCCGGTGAGTGTGGAACCTCTGCTAGTAGATGGCATTTGACCCACCCTTGTGACCTTTAACCTCCACAATCTGCCCAGCATCCCTGGCCTCAGGCCTCCTTCCTTGAGTCTCCTCTGCCTCCTGGAGCTGATGTTCCCTCCTGTCCCCCATCTCTACAGGGAGCCAAAGGTGACCGAGGCCTGCCAGGACCTCGAGGGGAGAAGGTAAGGTGGTCCTAGTTCAGGGTCTGTGCGCTGGGTCCAGGGGTGACTGGGCCGCCAGACCCCTCACAATTCCATCTGTGCAGGGTGATGTCGGCCGTGCAGGGGAGCCTGGAGATCCTGGAGAAGATGTGAGTGTGGGTCCTGGGTCATTCTCGACTCAGGCTGAGGAATGTGACTGTAGACATTGGGGGTCATTTCAGGGCCTGTGCGTGTTAGAATCACTGCATCTGGCTACATCTTCTGGCATTCAGAAGCTTGCTCCTTGCACATGAGATCCTCGGCTTTCACACATCCAGGGCTTGGGAACCCTGTCTTTGCTTTCATATGTCTCTTGTTGGTCCATGTTCCTCACCAGGTCTGAGCACATGTGTGTCTCCTGTTTCACTTCCCAGGTCTCAAGGCCACATCTGAGCCCTTGTGGGCCTCTCAACGGCCATGTGTTTATAATCATCCCCTCGTTAATCTGTGTTCCCATGTATCTGAATTCGTGACCTTCCTGTGAGCACTGAGTCTCATGTCTAAGTCTGTTTTTGTGCTCCTGTCTGAACTCCCACGGGCTCGTGCTCATGTCTGGGGCCCCATGTGGCTCACGTGTGAGTTCCACGTGTCTGTGGCCAAGCCCGAATTCTCTCCTACGTATCTGGTCATATCTGAGCTCCCGTGACCTAATCCTTGCTCACATGTCTGTGTCCTCATGTCTGTGATCACATCTGAGTGGCTCTGGGATGAGCTGGGCCAAACCTTGGGTTTGTGGTCCAGTTCTTACCCTCTCAAGTGCTGTTTGCTTTCTTTTCAGGGTCAGAAAGGAGTGCCAGGATTGAAGGGTAGCAAGGTACATGTGCTGTAGAGTTCCTGATGGGGGGACATGACCTTGAGATGCTCTCAGCCTAATTGGACTCTCTGTCCCCTGCAAGGGTGACCCAGGAGTTGAGATCCAGGGCCCTCCTGGGCCAGCTGGTCCTCCAGGTCTGAAGGTAAGTGCCCATAGCCATGATGTAGGTGTCGGACAGAGAGGCCCTGGGGGTGGAAGAGGAGAGGATTCCACGATAAGGCCTAGCGGGATGAGGGGGAGGAGTGTGTGGCAGGGACCACGTTTCTCTTTTCTGTCTCTGTTTCAGGGAGAAGCGGGCCTCCCTGGACCCCCTGGCGCTCCTGGTGTTGTTGGGTTCCCAGGTCAGACAGGCCCTCGAGGCGAGACGGGCCAGCAGGGCCCTACAGGAGAGCGGGTGAGGGCTGGGAGCAGCATGTGGGACCTGGGGTGAACTTTAGGATCTCTGAATCCAGGCACTGGAAGGAGACCTAGGGTGTCTTGGGGACTCTCAGTTTTAGAGAATGCAGGATTCCTAGGTCACTGTCTATCTCTCTTGCCCCTTTTCTCAACACCCCATAGGGTCTGGCAGGCCCTCCAGGTAGAGAAGGAGCCCCAGGCCCTTTAGGGCCACCTGGACCCCCCGGGTTGGTGGTAAGTAGGAGTACCCTAAGTCCCCCCATGGCTGATTCACCGTGCTGGAGTCTGCCCACATGAGGGTTTATGTTGGGGGCTGTCACTTTGCACAGTTGAGCCTGTGCATGTGGGTTCTTGGGGCCAAAAGGACCCTCATTCACTCTGACCCTTAGGGAGCACGTGGAGCCTCGGGACTAAAAGGAGACAAGGTAGGTGTGACAATGCTGCTGGCTTTTATGTCCCTGCTGACTCCCTGTGACCCCTGTCACCTCTGTCCCCCACTGATTCTCCATGATCTTACTGATGATAGTAATGACCTTGCACTGATCCCTGATCCTCTTCCATTCTCTGCTTATCCTGGTGTCTTCTCAATGTCCAGGGAGACCCTGGAGCAGGGCTGCCTGGAGCCCGAGGGGAGCGTGGAGAGCCAGGGGTCCGGGTACGTTTGTCCTGCTTTGGGGCCAAGACCCCCCGGCTGGGGAGCAGAGTGGGACTCCCTTCATCACTGGTCTTACCTTTGATTCCCAACCTCTGAGCCCATGACTCTGATGTCACCACCCAGGGTGAAGACGGACGACCTGGCCAGGAGGGAACCCGAGGACTCATGGTGAGTCCCCTTGGGAAGAGCACCCCTACTTGTACCATCTGTGTTTTCAGGGCTCATGCAGTGGCCTGCCCCCCAAACCCTGCCAGGCTTCCCTGACCTGACCTTCTAGGGGCACTTTCTGTCATCTTTCCCCAGCTCCTGTCTCTGTTCTCTGTTTACCCTTTAGCTCGCTTTGCTCCCCTAGGCACCCCCAGGCCTCCCTTGCCTCTTAAGTTGTGTGTCTGCGAATCACCCCACATTCCCACAGCTCTCAGTCTCATTATCTCACACAGGGGCCTCCAGGCGGCCGTGGGGAGCGTGGGGAGAAGGTAAGAGTGCGGTGAGAAGGTCCCAGGAGATGAGCTGGGGTGAGGATGGAGCTGTGTTTCAGGGCTGGGAGCTTCCTTGTCCGTGTGGGACTCACATTCTTCCACCCAACAGGGTGACACTGGAGCTCCAGGTGTGAAGGGTGACAAGGTCAGTGTGGACACGAGGTGGGCAGGGGTGGAAGACTAAAGGCGATCTCATTCCTCTGACTGACCTTTGTTCCCTAGGGTGACTCTGTCATGATCGAGGGGCCTCCAGGGCCACAGGGTGCCAAGGGGAACATGGTGAGTGAGCCTGGTCCATGAAGAAACTGGGGTTTGCAGGGGGGATCCTGTGAGGCTGGGCCTTTGGCTCTGAAAACACAAGTCCCCAAAGAATGAGGGGAACCCAAACCCCTGGCCCTGACTTCTAACCCCTGCCCCAGGGTGAACGAGGGCCTCGAGGCATAGATGGTGACCAAGGACCTCGAGGAGATGCAGGGATCCCTGGAGAGAAGGTAAGGGGAAGAGGGTAGGCAGGGTGCTCTGTGAGAGCGGGGTTTCTGTGGGTTATGGGGACTCTATAGGGGTCTTTGAGGGCAGAATAAGGGCTTTATGGGAGTTGTAGAGAGGAGCCTTTTGGGGCTGTCGCAGCTCTTTTTCATTTATTTATTTATTTATTTTTAGAAAATGTATACTTTATTTGGTATTAACAGGTTTGAACAAATTATTATTATTTTAAATTTCCATTCATTCCTTGGAGGCAAGGATTCTAAGGCTCCGTCTAACTTACTTTGGACATGTTGTGAGGAGAGACCGGTCCTTAGAGAGGGACATCATGCTTGGGAGGGTGGAGGGACAGCGCAGGAGAGGAAGGCCTTCTATGAGGTGGATTGATTCAGTGACTGGGGTAATTGGGATGGGAGTGTCAGAGACGGTGTGATTGGCACAGGACAGAGCGGAGTTTAGGGCCGTTGTACATAGGGTCGCTATGAGTCGCAGGCGACTCGACGGCACATAACAACAACAACAACAACAACAACATTGTTACACATTTTCCTCCCTGCCCCCTCGCCCCCAGTTTGCCTTTTTCTTTGGAAAAAAGTTCTTTCATTGTTATACAGTGTGTGTCCCTCGATCCTGTCTCTCCCTCCACCACCACCCACCTCACCCCCACCCCTGCCGCCAACAACTTTACTACCCAACTCTTATTCTGGACTCTTTTCATGCCAATAATACCTAATCACATGTTCTTTTTATACAGTTCTCTTCCTAGTCTGTTTCAATGCCAAGTACATTATTTATCCCCTCTTTTCTTAGCTTTCTCCCAAACCCCATATCAGTCCTATTCTATAACAGTGGCATTACACAATATTTGTTTTTTTGTGACTGAGATATTTCACTCAGCATAATGTCCTCCATGGTCCCCCATTTTGTATAATATTTCATGAGTTCTTTGTTTTTTAGTGCTGCATAATATTCCATTGTGTGACTATACCAGAGCTTTTCTATCCATTCATTTGTTGATGGGCATTTGGGCTGTTTCCAACTCTTTGCTAGTGTGAACAACACAACAATAAACATGGTGTGCATATATCTGCTTGAGTGGCAGTTCTGATTTCTTTAGGGTATATTCCCAGTAGTAGACTTGCTGGGTCAAATGGTATTTTTATTTGCAACTTTTTGAGAAAGCGCCATACTGCCTTCCATAGTGGTTGCACCATTTTACACTCCCACCAACAGTGAATAAGAGTTCCAGTCTCTCCACAACCTCGCCAACATTTGTTGCTTGCTGCTCCATTAAATTTTGCTATTTTTACTGGGGTGAGATGATATCTCATAGGTATTTTGATTTGCACTCTCTTAGAACTAGGGATTTTGAACATTTTTCATGTGTTTGTTTGCCATCTGAATGTCTTCTTTGGTGAAGTGTCTGTTTATATCCTGTGCTCATTTTGCAATTGGGTTGTTTACCTTTATCTTTTTGTGGTTGCCACAGCTCTTGAAGTGCTGAGGGTGGGAAAGAATGCTTGAGAGTTTGATGGGTACCCAAGAGGGGAGCTCTGTGGCCTGTGGGACTTTATGAGGGGCCCTGTGGGAACAGCAAAGGAAGTCCTAAGTGGGGTTATGGGACCAGTAGTATGGAGATGAGGTGCAGTCAGGGAATCCTGGGTGATAAGTGAGCCACTCCCTGGGCTGATGCCCCAGCCCCTTCCCGCACTGACATGGGGCTGGGGGCAGTCTTGGAGTGACACTGGACTCCCCTTTGCCAGTTGGCAGGTTCCGGCTGTATTCCCAGCCTCCATCCAGCCTGATCTAGTCCTGACTTTGTTCCTTTCCTGGTCTCTCCACAGGGCGTCAAGGGGGAGCCTGGTGACAAGGGCTCGGCGGGGTCCCTGGGAGCACGTGGACTCACGGGACCCAAGGTGAGCCCTCACCCCTGGCACAGGTCTAGAGCCACACGAAACTTGCCTCATGGGTGTCGTCTGAGTGCTGAGGGTTTCCAGCCTCTCTCTCTGTTATCCACATGTGTGTTCATACATGACCTGTGACCCAGCCAGAGCCACCCATGGCTGTGTGTGTGCCACGTACAGTCCAGCACACAGGAACACTCACGCCGAGGGGCTGTCTGATCCCCTTTTGACCTGTGTTTCCCACAGGGTGAGCCTGGTGCTGCGGGGATCCCTGGTGACCCGGTAAGATACCTCTCCTCCCACAGCAACCCCTCTATCCTGACAGAGCCCAGCCCTGGTGACTGACTGCCCGTGTGCCAGTCTTTGACCTTATAGTGTCCACTGTCCTCATGGTGGCCTCATGTTGCCCAGCAGCCCCTCCCTCCACTGCCTACAATGGTGGTGATCCCCTACCCACGTTGATGCTTTTCCCTGTGGAAGGTTCTGGACTTCCATATGGCTCCTGTCCCCATGGTATTCCTTGCCCACTGAATTCAAGGTGGCTCTCTTTGATCCCTCATTGATCTTCCTTGGCCTCACATTGACCCCTTCTCCCCACAGGGACCCCCAGGGAAGGATGGAGTCCCTGGTGTCCGAGGAGACAAAGGAGATGTCGGCTTTATGGGACCCCGGGGCTTCAAAGTGAGAGAAGTGGGATTTTTGGTAGTTGTTGGGAGCTAGGGGGGCGGCTAATGCTGGAAGGTGCCTTATCTGGAGTTAGAGATAAGTTGGGGATCTGGGGTCAGATGTTGGTGTATCTGTGGTTGAATGTGGGTCTTGGGTCAGAGGTTAGAGGGTCTGGGGCCAGTTTGGAGATGTGGGTTCATTCAGGGTCATGGGGTCATAGGATGAGTTATCTGGAAGCTGGTTATTTACCTGCTGTTCTCTCCCAGGGCGAACGAGGAATGAAAGGGGCCTGTGGCCTTGATGGAGAGAAGGGTGACAAGGTACAACAGAGGTAACAGGGGTATGTGGAGGGCCACGGGACCTGTCACTTGTAGGCTGACCCTTCACCTGACACCTGCAGGGAGAAGCTGGATCCCCAGGCCGCCCCGGGCTAGCAGGACGCAAAGGAGAAATAGTGAGTGTGGCCACACCCAGAGTGAGGGAGGTGCACGTGGGCTCGAGCCCACCTCATGTCTCTTCTTCTTCAGGGAGAGCCAGGAGTACCCGGCCTTTTGGGGGCCCCCGGAAAGGAGGGCCTGATTGGCCCCAAGGTATGGGATCTCAGGACAGTGGCTGTAATGGGAGGTCAGGGTGGGCTTGAGGAGGTCACAGGGGGGTCATGAGCTTGAGAAGGTTTTTTTGGGGTTGAGGCAATGGGAGGTGGAGTGTTGATGTTTCAGGGTGTGCTGAGGTCATAGCAGTGGAGAGCATGAAGATTTAGGATTATAGGATAGAATGCAGGGTCTTGGGGTCCTGTGAATGGACTGGGGCTCAGTATGAGTGTGAGTTGGCATGGGGGAGATTTAGGGGTCCGGGCAGTGAAGTGATGAGGTCAAGGTGATGAGGAAGTTGTGGGTTGTGAGGGGCTGAGCTGAGGGAAGTCAGGGCACAGGGTCTCACATGTCTTCTACCCCTAGGGTGACCGAGGCTTTGATGGACAATCAGGACCCAAGGGTGACCAGGGAGAAAAAGGAGATCGGGTGAGTTACCTGCGAGGTCAGAATGACTGACAGGATTATGCTTCCATTAAGAGTGTCTATTTCTGGATGCTCTCATCACTTACTGTGTCTGTCTCTCCCCAGGGACCCCCAGGAATTGGGGGCTTCCCAGGCCCTAGAGGCAATGATGGCTCTAGTGGGCCACCCGGACCACCTGGCAGTGTTGGTCCCAAAGGCCCCGAAGGACTTCAAGGCCAGAAGGTGAGAGGCCCCAACTCTGACCTTTGACCTCTGAACCCTTGCAACCTGTTGACTCTTGACTATAACTTATCCCTCTGTTTCCCTGACCCACCCAGATCCCCCACTTTCTGACTCTGACACCCAATGCTTTTGACTCTGCTCACTTGTGTCTAACAGGGTGAACGGGGACCCCCTGGAGAGAGTGTGGTGGGGGCCCCTGGAGCCCCTGGGATGCCTGGTGAGAGAGGGGAGCAGGTGAGTGGGGAATCTGTGGCTTGAGATCAGGGATTGTTGTGACCTCTGATATCTCTGAGATCAGAGGCCACAGCCTGATCCCATCTGCCACCTACAGGGGCGACCAGGGCCCATTGGTCCCCGTGGTGAAAAAGGAGAAGCTGCGTTGACCGTGAGTGAGGGCTGAGGTCTGACCCCTGGGCGGCTCTCCCTGCCCCATGGACCCCGTGGCCGCCCTGTGATTCCTTGAGTTCTTCATGTTCTGTGCGGTCTTGTTCCCCCAGGAGGATGACATTCGGGCCTTTGTACGTCAGGAGATGAGTCAGCATTGTGGTGAGTGCTGACAAACCCAGAGTCCTCGGGACCCATCCCCATCCCACCCCACACTCTTAGACCAGGGCGGGCAGGGTCCCCAGAACTTGCAGGTGGCAAGCAGCCAGGGAGCTGGGTGGAGCAGAATGGATGTTCAGAACACATTTGCCAAAGGGCAGACGTGCTGACCTTTCCTCACCCAGACACACAGGCAGATTTGGGTGGACACACAGGGCACTTACTGGTGCCTGCAGCTGTGGGTGGACACCCAGGGAGAACGGGCATGACAGACTCATTGGTGACACTTGTGCTGCTGGAGGGGGACAATGAACACACAGATAGAGCCCACAGACAGATGACTTGCAAGAAGACACATGTCAAAAAGCTGCACTGCAATCCCAGAGGTGCATGGTTCTAATCCACCAAATGCTCTGCTGAAGAAGGAGGGACAATTGCTTCCTGTACCAGTCAAATCCAATTTGACAGTACACACACAAACAATAATAAAATAAAAATTAAAAAAGAAAAGAAGACACATGTCCTGATAGACGGCCACATCTGACAGATAGCAAGGTGGATGCATGCACAGCTGGGGGCTCCTCGTTCTTGGATGCTCACTGTGGTGGGGGGAGGGCGGGATAGGGGAGCAGACCTGGTCCGTCGGGGCCTGACATGGAGACAGGGGTTGTGATGGTCCCGAGGGGCGTTAGTCAACGTCCTCTCTTCCCCTCTCTCTCCCTGTAACCACTTCTGCTCGCTCTGACTCTTGCCTTTTGTTGTTGGCCTGTTTCCACCTTTTCTCTGTTCTTTACGCTTCTTTTTTTCCCCCTCTCACTTTCTTTTCTTCTCTTTTCTCTCTCCTATTCTGCTGTCTGTATCTCTTTCTACTGCATTGCTCTGCTTTTCTCCACCTTCCCTCTCTACCTCTTAACCTGCCATTGTCTGTCTCGTCCCTCTCTGCCCCCTCCAGCTTGCCAAGCCCAGTTCAGTGCATCTGGATCACGTGAGTACATCTCCAGGTCTCCTCATTCGGCCCCACCCTGCCCTGGGTGCTGTCAGCCGAGGGCACGGCTAGCTGGTCTCCATGCTGACCCCAGGACCTGTCCTCCTTGTCTTTGCTCCAGGACCCCTCCCTAGTTATGCTGCAGACACTGCCGGCCCTCAGGCCCACCATGTACCCGTGCTCCAAGTCTCTCATGCAGAGGAGGAAGGTGAGGACGGCTGGGTCTATAGTGCGTGTGCAGGTGGGGCACTGACAGACTCAAATGTGGGCACGAGTGTGGAGTGTGCCGGCAGGGCACACGTCACATACATAGGTCCGCAAGGAGGGCACTCTTGAGCACATGTGGGGAGATGGGTACGTCTTAAGGGCCAGGGCTGGGCAGCACCCACTTGGGCCAGCAGCAGCCCTAATCATTGCACACCTCACCCTGCGTACAGGCCGGCTGCCCCCCGAGGATGATGAGTTTTCAGAATACTCTGAGTATTCTGTGGAGGAATATGAGGACCTTGAGGTGCCCTGGGAAGGTGATGGTGAGGATGGGGGTGCTGAATCCAGGGGGGGTTTGAGCAGGAGCAGATTCCCATCTCTGCTGACCTCTCACTGACCCATTATACTTCACTCCTGCTGATCTCTGACCCCACTAGCCCTAGATCCTTGCTCGTTACCACTGGATGAGGGCTCCTGTACTGCCTACACCCTGCGCTGGTATCACCGGGCCGTGGCTGGCGGCATAGGGGCCTGCCGTCCCTTCGTCTATGGCGGTTGCAAAGGCAATGCCAACCGTTTTGGGACCCGAGAGGCTTGTGAGCACCGCTGCCCACCCCGTGTGGTCCAGAACCTGGGAACAGGTATGACCCTGCCTGCAACCCCACTACCTCCACTAGAACAGCTCCTGGGGTGAATCCCCCCACATCAGGGCCCTGGGTGAGACCCTGGACCTCTTCATATGGGGGTCTAGGACAGAATCACAGGCCAGAGAAGTGAAGAAAGGAAGCCAGCTGTGGGGTCCCCTGCATGACCACTCCATGCCCTCCCCTGTAAGGACCTGACTCTGGAAGCCCCACTCCCTCTGTGGCCTCAGCTCTCTCCCCCCTCAGATGCCTTTGTTCGTGTGTTTCTGGGGTGCACACTCTGGGTGAGAAGGTCAGATGACTGAAGACTGCTCCTACCCACCCCACCCAGGTGCTACCCAGAGCTGAGGCCCAGGAAACGAGCCGAAGTTCAGTGTCCCCTGGAGGAGTCTTGGTCCCTGCTGGACCCTGCGGTCCCTCCCCCTTGGTGCTAGAGGCCTGTGTGCACGTGAGCGTGCGCGTGCGTGTCCGTTATTTCAGTGACTCGGTCCCCTGGGTCTGGCATTGCCCCCTGTGGACAAATCCTCATTGTGGCTTCTGTCTTGTTCGCAGCTGACTCACTTGGGGGGGTGCTGTGGGCAGCTAGCGGATGTGACTGGTGTCTGACTGCCCTTTGACCCAAGCCTGTGATGACATGGTGCTAATTCTAGGGGGGCATTAAAGCTGCTGTTTTCAAAGACTCCCATTGTGTCTCTTTGGGGGAAATATTTGGGGGGAGAATAGGGCTTCCTAGTGGGGGGTCAGTGCTGTCCTTCATGGGTGCAGAGTACCCCTGCCCAGCCATGATGATCAATACCTGTGACCCTCAGTCCTCAACTTGTCTCTCCAGAAAGGAATAATTAGGGTAAGGGCTGAAGATGAGTCCTGGCTGCTCCCAGAAGGGATGAGTCACAAGTGGGGGGCTGCCTGATGCCAGGAAACATGTCCCAGTCTCCAAACTGGGGGGCAGAGGGAGATAAATGGGCCCTGAGGTGGGGCAGAGGGTCAGACCTCAGGACAGCGCTGCCTGTTCTCAGTCCCAGACCCCATCTTACCCTCACGGAGGCTGATCCAGGTACACCTCGTGTCCGGTTGAGATGCAACAAGTGTTGCGGGTACAGCAGACTTGGGGTTGGGTTAGGGGAGGTCTCTCAACCTGGTGGGTGGTGGTCTGGGACCTCTGACCCCCATCTCTGAATTGAATGTACTAGAAGCTCTCTTAGTCAAAACCTCATCTCTCTTTGTCCTTCTGTGTTCCTACCCGTTTCTTTGAATCTTCTTATTTCCATCATCCTACATGTCTCTGAGACGATGTCTGCTTGTCTTTCTCCTCCAGAACCCTCTATTTCCCTCTGTCTTGAATCCATTCATCTCTTCTCACCCACCCCTGCCCGAGTCTAGCTCTCTATTTTTATCTTGGTCACTTTCTGTATTTCTGTCTCTCTCTGTCTTTCTCTCTGGATCCCTTCTCTGTCTTGATTTTCCCCATCTCACTCTGTCCCTGACTCTTGTCACTTCTTTCTATCTGTCTTTGTCCCCAGCCTGGGCTCTCTGATCTCTTGATCCTTCCCTCTAATTCCCCTCCTCCCTCTCCTCCCATCTATTCTCACCACCAGTCTGCCTGTGGCTCAGGGCTGACTGGAGGAGCCCTTCTCTGAGCCTGTTTTCTCCTCACAGCCCGACGCCACGATGACCAGGTGGGCTCTACTGGTATTGATGGTGCTGATGTTGGATGGGGTCTTCAACATCCCAGCCACCCCCATCCCAGCCTTCCAGCTCTCCCCTCACAATTTCTCCCAGGCCACTCCAAACCCTGTGATCTCAGAGAGGCCCCTGACCACCACCACAGGAACCTCAGCTACCCAGGGCCACGCCAGCTCTGGTCCCCGCCTTGGACCACGCATCACCCTCTCGCTGGATGTCCCCCTGGGCCTCCTGAAGATTCTGCTGGAGCAAGCTCGGATCAGGGGTGCCCGGGAACAGGCTGCTGCCAATGCCCTCATCCTGGCTCGTGTTGGCCGCCGCTGAGCCCGAGGGAGGACGTCCTAGGGGCCAGATGATGAGGCTACACATGGTTGGGAAGAATTGGAGAATAATGGGGGAGATGGATGGCACTACATCTGGGCATCACGCATCTGTCCATGGCCATGTGGGATCACAGCTAGGTGGTCTCTGGGTGCCTCATAGTTACAGGGTGATGGGTTGGCAGTCCAGCTGTCACACTTGGGGTCACTGCTGAGTGGAATCTTGTCATGTCTGGGTGCCTCGTGGCCACACAGCACCCAGACACTGTCATGTGTGGCCACCACTGTACCACTTTCAGGAATCCCATCCCAGGGAGACATACTGGATCTGAGGGCCACCTCATGCAGACACAGCCTGTCCTATCTGCTTGGAAGCCAGACTCAGTCCATCTAAGCCTGTGGAATGGAGCCCCAGCACGCAGGGCACCCCAGGGATGTCCTGGGGCGGGTCACAGGTTTCCTGCTCCATGAGACAGCACCTGCCCAGGAAGATGGAACCACCTCTAGACCATCTCCCAGGATGGTCATGTTGGAAATCTGTGGCTGTGGCAGTCTTCCATCGTGAGGTTTATGTGTAGGAGTGACCGAACCTTTGTATGCTGCCTCTGTTACAAGTCTGTATCTGACAGCTGTGAGTGTGTGCGAGGGAGGCCAGTGGCTTGTCTCCCAACTCGCACAAAGTCTCCAGGGCACGCAGCCAAACACAAGCCTCCCACAGCCCTAATATACATTCTCAGTCTTAAACATATGGACTCAGCCCTCATGCCCAGCCATCAACCTTGGATACGTGGACCCGGAGAAGAAGGGGGCCAGGACACCAGGCTCTAGCGCATCTCCATCCCGTCCACACTGCGATGTCTTGGCCAAAGGCACTTTCTTAGTCAAGCCAGTTTTCTTACCTGGAGAGCAAGGTGAGGCCGCTAAGCTTCTGGTGAACACTAGGTGATAAAACGTGTCTGAAAGTTCGGATGTGCAGGAAGTGTTCAATAAACACAAAGTGGCTGAAGGGTGGCATGAATGAAAATCACAGTCACGTGCGCCAGTGACACATGAGGGCTGACTCATAGCCCGCCCCACTGGCCCTCTGCCTCCCTCTCGCCCCTGTTTCACCGATTCTAGTTTCTTGGTTGAAGAGGAGTGGATTTGCACACCCTCCAACTCTATTGCTGGTGGGTGTAGACCACCGCCACTGGAGGTGGGGGATAGGATTGAGTTTCTGTCCCGTGTGGACAGTCTTGCCTGGGCACGGGCAGGAGCTCCGGGCAGCGTACACAACACAGCCCCAGCTGGGCATGAGGGCGGACCCTGGGCTGAGTGGACAGCTCTGGCTGGAGGGAGGCTCTTGAGGAGGGAAGCAGGGCTGCCTGTGGTGGGGGCCCTGAAGTTGACCTCCCCGTTTGTAAAGAGGCTGTCGGAGCAGCCTTGGGGGGCGGGCCTAGGGCGGGGCTGGGAGAGGCGGGGCGTGGGACAGCCTGCGACTGTCTTCCCAGCAGCCAGCGGCCTGAGTTGCTCACTCCAGAGTCAGGGGGCAGCAGGCTGTGACCAGCTTGTTTGCGGGATGGACAGAGGCATGGAAGAAGGCAGCTCCTCGTCGGACCCGGAGCCGGGGAGCAGCGGGCGGGGTAGGCGCCCAGAGGTGTAGGGAGGGTGAGGGGATTGGGGAAACACCTGGGCCAAGTGAGGGTGGTGTTGACGGGACAAAAGGACATGGGGGATCTCTCTGGATATAGGGGTGCTCTGAGGGGACATCAAATGTCAGTGGCAGGGAGTGGGGGGAAACACTTGCTTTGCAGGAGAAAGGGGGCTGGGCTAAGGGGAGCTATAAATAGCGTCTTCCTCCAGCCCAGGGGAAGGGAGGCCAACTGAAGCTGCCTCCGGCCCTCCCACTCTGCCCTTTGCTGGTTTCCAGGGGGTCACTTCTGTCCAGGTCCCTTGCAGGGGTCACACCAATTTAGGGAGGTTCAGAGACTCACTTGGAAAGTTTTTGATGGGACTTTTGCCCCTAAACCAGTATTTCTAGGGTGCCTGTTGTTTGCCCTGAACTGCTCTAAGCACCTACTGTGTGCTCTGTCCTGGTCATGGGCCTCTCTGAGCACATGCTCTGTGCTCACACCTAAGCCACTTTGGATATTGCATGTACTGGTTGATCCCCTGCTGGTCTGAGTCCCCACTGTGTGCCCTGTGCCAGGCTGGAAGCAGGAGGTACAGGCCAGGGTCCACCAGGCTGCTTGATCACATGGCTTTATGCCCCCAAGTTATAAACAACACCTCCTCGTGACCTTTAGGCCTCAGTAGATGCCAAGAGTGATCTTTGGCTGGAAATGTCCAGTCAAGGCTGGAACTCCTGGAACCTCCCAGTGACGGCAGAGGAGAGGGAAGGGGGACTCAAGAGGGAGGGAGGCAGCGGAGGATGGTCTGCCTGCCTCTGTGCAACGTATCTGGGTGCAGCGCTTGTTTGTGTATGTGCTTTTTTATGTGCGCACGTGTGTCTGCATGCACCTGCGTGCGTGGTGCACCAGCATGTGGATTGGTGAACCATGCATTGAGATCTGGGTCTGGAAGCTCCAGAGGGTGACTTGGCAACTCTGTCGGGACTCCATTCAGGGGCTGAGAGAAGTCTGAGCTTTGAGAACTGAGGATTGACTCTTCCAGCCACCCTACCATCCCACAGTCTGAGAAGAAGCCCAGTGGTCAGTGCAGAAAGTACCATGGGAGATTCCAGCTGGGGTCAGGATGGGCACAGTCTTAGGAGAAGAGGCTGAGCAGGACGTGTCCACACATGAGTGCATGCTGACACCTGAGCAAACTCACCACCACAGCAGGATAGCTGGCTTGCTTTGGGATGCTACTGAGGAGGTGGAAGCTAGGAGAGCCAGTTATTCTTTGGCCTTCTGCTGATGCTGAAGGAACAAGAAGCATTTCTCTGGAGAGAAGTATAGAGCTGGGAAACGTGGTGTTAGTGGGAGGTGTGGGAGGGGAAGTTTTGAAGAGCTGGCAGCTGAGTTGAACCCATCCCACACTGTAGACTGACTCAGTGACCCTGAGCTTCTCTTCTGATTCTCGGCTCCCTATCCCAAAAATGGGGCCATAGGAGGGACTGTGGACAGCATCTTCAAGGGTGGATGCAGACTCTGGCCTTGGAGAGGAGCCCTAAGCATCTCTTTGCCTTTGATTCATTGTCTCTTGGAAGGGTGTGTCAGATCAGCCCAGAGTCAGGAAACCAGACTCAGACTCAGGTCCCCAGATGGTCCCCAGAGATGGCCATGGCCTTCTGCCCTATCTTGGCTGTCTCGTACCTTCGGCACTTTGACTAAATTCCATAAGGATTGGATGGCTTCAGCTGGTGTTGGAGGTATGTGGGTGTTAGAGGAAAGAGTCTTCATTATAATTTCTGTATTGCATGTTGGACAGGGTGTGGACTTTATGAGGTCTTTGAGTCCTTCTTGTCCCCAGAATAGCCTTGGCAGTGGCCAGGAGGCAGGAAGATATGACTGTGTTAGGAGTGGAATGAGTGGCCTTGGGGAAGTAGAGAGTCGAGGCTGGTCACAAAGGGCACCCTGCTCACCAAGGGCCAGCATGGGTATACTCAAAGCTCCTGGGCATGAGTTGGGGTGGTGGACCCTGCAGAAGGAGAGCAAGGAAGGAAGATGTGGTTGGCCCTGCCTAGTGTGTACCAGCTACAACTAATTGTAGGGAGCATCTAGTCCAGGTAGGCTTCCAGCAGGTGGACCTGCAGAACTTTCGTTTCTTTTTTTTTATTATTATTTATTTTTGTGTGCGTGTACCGCCAAATCAGATCTGACTGGTACAGGAGGAGATTGCCCCTCCTTCCCCGGCAGAGCATCTGGTGGATTCGAACCGTGCACCTCTGGGACTGTAGTTGCAGCTTCTTGCCACTAGGCCACCTGAGCTCCCCTAGAACTTTTGTTTCTTGTGACATAGGCGAAGCATCTATTCCAGGGTTGTCTTCAAGGCCAGTGTCAGGCTCTCAAGGGCTGGATCGATCATTACTTAGAAAGTCAGGGAAGACAAAGACACTGAACTTCCTGTACTTGGGATCAGCCCTATTCTGCTCTTGGCTCCTGGTCCCGGTTGGGTTTTACATTTGTGCAGAGAACTGGAGGACAAAGGGACCTTGCCTGGGAAGCAGAGAATAGCATCACTAGGGGGCAGTAAGATTCACTTCAGAGCAGTGTTAGTGGGGGCCAAAATGTGAGCTGAAGAGGGACACTGAGATAAGGTAGGAGCCTGCAGGGAATGAAGGGGGACCAATCATGAGAGAGTGAAGCAGAAATTGCTCCATTTCCAGATCCCTCCCTTAACCCACTCCTTCTCCTACTACATTATCATTATTAGAAGCAAGAGTGATACAAATGATGTAATAAACAACATTAATATAGAGTCCCTGTGTGCAGACAGTTAATGGGCTCAACAGCTAAAAGTTGGAGGTTCAAGTCCACCCAGAGGCACCTTCAAAGCCATTGAAGACCCTCTGGAGCCTTAGTTTTACTTTGACATACTCTTGCCATTAGTTGAGTTGACTCTACAACAACTGGTAACACTAGCATGCTTTTAAAAGTTATTTCTCAGAGACTGAGGTGTTTCATTTATGCCTGATCTTGAAAGCTCTGGGCGGGGGGCCTACTAGGTAAGGAGTTGTGCTGTGGTTCCACTAAAAGCAAGTGGTTCCAATCCACGGGAGAAAGGGGGATAGTCTTCTCCTGGGCACTTTACAGCCTCTGAAAACTGACTGGAGGGTCACTATGAGTCAGTTCTAACTGAGCGGCAATGACTTGATTGGACTTGACTTGTAAGATCAATGACCCGTGCATCCCATTTTGCTAATCAAAAGATTCAAGCTCATTTAAAAAATGTGAGCACTCATGATTAAGGATTTAATTGGTAAAAATGAAATCCTGGAAGAAGTAAGATACTGCTGGGACTTTGTGTGTACACAGAGTGTGATTACACGCTGTCCTTGTTTACTTGTACTTGCTCCAGTTGGCGGGAGTTTCAGCAGCAGCTCCTTAGCAGCCGAGGCAAAGAGGGGGAACCGTGAATTCTGAGATTCATCCTGTATCCCTAAGAGAAAGGTCGCGGGGCGCTTGGAGCAGACGACGAGGTCCTGGTACTAGTCTTCCCAAAGCAGCGACTTTTACTATTAGGATCCATCCCGACCAATCAATCAGACCTGCGGGTCACTGAGGCCCGCCCCACTGCACCAAACCCCTCCTTCCCGGGGGGGGGGTCCTTGGCGCGGAGTGTAGCGAGGAGGGGCGTGCCCGGGTGGGGGCGGAGCTTCGCATCCTGGGGCGGGGCTCCTGGGTGACGCATATGCAAATTAGCGCGGTCGGGTAGGGTGTACTGGCTTTGTTCATTCAGAGCGGAGCCTGCACAAACGGGGTCTTGCGAACACGAGGAGTTGGACGTACGCGACCCCAAGCCGGGCTCGAGACGAGCGACCTACTGGGTCCCTAACGGGCCCACAGACGAGCTGGGCATGCGCAGTCTGTGACCGGCCCTCTTCTGTTTGGGCGGAGCTTATTTCTAGGAGGCGGGGAAATGCAGGGAGCTGGGCATGCGTCCTCGTGCCTCGAGGAGGGGCGGGGCCCAAGGGGCGGGGCCTCGGTGGCCCGGCCGCTGGCTGGCATTCGCGCAGTCCAGCTCAGCCCGGCTCCGGGATGGCGTCTCCACGGGAGCTGACCCAGAACCCCCTGAAGAAGATCTGGATGCCGTACAGCAATGGTCGGCCCGCCCTGAACGCCTGCCAGCGCGGTGGTGAGGAGGGGTTCGCGGGGAGGGGAGGGAGGTGCCCAGGAGTGATCGGTAAGGATGGCCTGGAAGGAGGTCTCCCGTGGAGAGAGGGTGGAGACAGGTGAGCCAGCCTTAATGATCAAGGACCCGGGACAGGTATGGCAGTGCTGGAGGGCAGAGACAGCTGTGTCAGTATCTCGGCATGTCAGGGGCTAGCCTGATTGTCATCTCTGGGAGTGTGCCCACTCATACGTACCCTACCTTGTCCCCTCATCACTGCCAGCCAAGCAAGGACTCGGACCCATTGCGGTCATAGCCTACCCCTTTCCTCTCTCCAAGATAGAAATTAGCCAAGTCTGAGCTGTGTGACAATCAATCTCTTGGCCTCTCTGAGCCTGGACCTTTCAAAGGCCCCAGGGAAGGCGAGTCCTCTAGTGGGAGGAAGCATGCCTATTGGTCTCCTGCCACGGCCCTTGGGCTTAAAACCGAATTTGTGGAGGAATTTCAAGGTGGTACATTTGTTCTCAGGGATAGGGAGAGCAGGGACACTATGCCATGTGGGCCTGTCTTTGAGTGCATCTGAGTCTATGTCTGCTCCTGGGATCCTGTATAGATAGTAAAACTGAAGGATAAAACTTGGAGAAGACTTGTAGGGGGAGCTCTGGTGGCCTAGTGGCAAGAAGCTGCACTGCAATCCCAGAGGAACACGGTTCGAATCCACCAGATGCTCTGCCGGAGAAGGAGGCGCAATATCCTCCTGTACCAGTCAGATCTGATTTGACGGTACACGCACACAATAATAAAACAAAAACAAAAACAAAACTTGGAGAAGACTTGTGACATTACTAAGAGAGCTCACCTCTCATGGAGTCTTAGATATCTGTTTATACCCTTCCTTGACTTTGTCAGTTCTTAAATGAATTTGCAGCAGTTTTTAATGCCAGGAAAAAAAAGAGAAGCTTTATTCTTAGAAGAGTATCTGCAACATTGTAATGAACTTGTAAATTGGCAGGAACCTCAGAGACTATCTAGTTCAACTCACAGCACAATATGGAAATGGAACTTTGGAGACTGTGTGATGTGCCAGGGTCTCCCTGCGCTCCTGGCCTCTGCTTGGAGATGATAAGGGAGAGTCCTCCCCTAGGGGCGGTGACTTTGACTATGGTGTGAGTCCCAGGGGAGACTTTTAGGGCCTGTGGCCAGGGTCCATTGCTCTGATTCCTGAGACAGTCTGTTAGGGGGATGTGGTCCTGACTAGGAGGACCCTGCTGTTTCTGCGTAGAGAGGAGGAAGTAAGAACCTAGATGCTGAAGGCAGGAACATCATGATTACTCAGCTGTGTTACCTTCAACCACTCGCTGGCCCTCCAGACCTCTGGGTCCTCATCTGTGGTATGGAAGCTGTCATTGTCATTTCTCTATGTGGCTGCTATGAGCCTCAGTTAAGCAGCTGCTTGATAGATATTAGCGGGTCATTTCATCATCTCCATCACCCTCTCTTTACTTCTTGGCACTGCACTTAAGATTGAAGTTTTCCTGCTCTGGGAAGGGCACTGCTGCCCAATTGCAGGGAAGGATGCTGCTCGGCTATTGCAGGCCCCAAGGCCACAAAGGTCTCCCTACCTGGAGCATGGCTTGTATTTCTCCAGGCTCCAAATATGGCATTAAACATTAGTTATTCCCTGAGAAAATATTGGAAGGTTTTAAGATGTTAGAGTGGGTGGAACTGTGGTTACCTAGCACAGGTAACTTGATGCCATGTCTGACTGTGGCCTGTAGCCTCTGAAATCCCTTCACTATCCATACCTTCATGGGCCAAGTGATCGTATGTCTGGCATCCTTGATGTAGACAAAGACATTGAGACTTGGGGAGCCAGGGGATTTGCAGGAGCACTCGCTTGGGAGTTAGAGAGCTAGGCTCACACGCCAGCCCCACTCAACCTGCTCAGCCATTGTGGTCACTTTCCAACTTAACCTCTGGCCTAGTATCCTCTACGCCAAACAATATTTGCCTATCCCTGTGTGCCCAGATGACCTTTCTACACTAGACTCACTTTATGATATTTCTCCTAAGTAAGCCTCATGTCCTGCAAAATTATCTCCCAAATAGTACTGGCTCGGGAAGTTTCCCCCATTTTATTCATCAGTGATGTAAACTTCAATGTGAGCTTCTAACTGGAAAGATGCAGAGGCTGGATCTGTGGGCAGCACTGTGTCTGGAGTTCCTGAGACTGCTTGCCTTTGGCCATCTCAGCTCAAAATGTGAGGTGTCCAAGATTGGGGCTTTACATCCCTTTTCTGGTATTAAAGCCCTCTTCAGAGCTACGTTCAGCTGTTGTGTAATCTGTCACCTTCAAGAGTGATTTCTCTCGCGGTGTGGAAGAGACGTTCTTAGCTACAAGTTTTCTGAACGTTCTTGGCCTCTTACAGACATGTTCAGATGACTCCATTCTGACAGGGCTTGCCACTTCTCTCCCAGCCTTGTACCCTCATGCAGTTCATGGTCTAGATAGGGAGACAGGTAGATTGATAGTGACCAGGAGACAACAGTCCTGGCTGTAAATAGAGAATAATTTAGCCTGTAGAGAAGCCCCAGGAAGGCTTCCTGGAGGAGGATAAGGAACCCCAGAGACCGAGGATACAGACTACATGCCGTTTAGGACTCTAAGCTAGAGTCCTCAGAGTTCACAGCAAGGAGTGAATGAGCAGGGACCCACCCATGGAAAACCTCAGACTCCCAGCCATGTAGCAAAGATGGACTTGTGACTGGGTTCAAAGACCACAAGGACTGGAGAAGACCCTCAAGGGAGTGAGTTGACTTGATTATAGAGCTTTGTAGAGAGAAGACCTCAGGGCTGGGGAGTGGTGTCTGCTGATCAGTGAGTGTGCAGAATTGACTGTGAGGCTAGACCTTTGAGCCTCAGGCACTATGAGCTGTCAGTGGAGGAGTGCTCCAGGCTGACTGCCCATGGCTCCATTTGTACCTTTTCCTCCCCTTGATGAAATCTACCCACCTGAGGGACAGGACACTGTCACCTTCTCCGTTATTGCCCCTCAGCTCAGACCTGGAGGGGCTCTGGGGACAAGTGGGACAGAGGATGCACGGGAGCCCCAAGGAACACAAAGGGCGTTGTGTGTCTGGTGGCTTTTCTCAGCCCAGAGGTGGCAAGATTCTTACTGGGTGCAGGACCACAGAAGAAACAGCTTCCTGTCCCCTCTGTTGGGGTCCGTGATGCTGCGTTGTCTCCTGTGCACAGAACTCTTCCTTTCCCAGCACAAGGAGATGGGATCTGGCACAGTCCACGAACAGATTGTGGAAGCTACTCTGGGGCCTCATTGATGGCTCTTTCCATGGTGCCCCCATGAAGCAGGCTCTGTCCAGTGCCTCTTGGACCGAGTGCTTCTTGGCTCCTACAGTTTCTTTGGCCGTGAGCAGATTTACAGGAAGTGAAGCCAGTGTGGACACCTGGTTGCCATGTCCTCACGTTTCCTTCTGCACATGCTTTGTGTCAAAAGCAGTATTCTACTGCCTGGTTTGCTCAATGCCGGCTCCAGCAGGCTCTGAGCTGCAACCCAGCGGTGCTCTGTCCCCGCTCACTCAGTCCACGTGCTCAGCTTTCTCTCCTTGTGCGCTTCAGCTGCAATCTCTCCGCTGCTGGGATTTCCCCAGAGTTTTCCTCTGGTAAGCAGGGCTTGCTGTAAACATACTTGAACTTTGATTTTTCTAGTGGATCATTCCTCAGAAGCTTATCTCTAGGAACAGAGGGTAAAGAGGTCATTTATTGCCCTTGTTTTGCATGATCAGATTCACCTGACCTTCCCACCTTGACCTCTGTGTTTGGGGGGAGGGGCAGGGAAGGAGCACTTTGTCACATCTCCAAGGAGACAGAAGCCCAGCCTCTCAATCCTGAGGGTGTGGGTGTGCCCCTGAGGGAGCAGTGGGTACGGGTGGTCTTGTTAGACTGATGCACCTCACATCTGGTGCAGAGCGCCCTGGCCAGCAAGCTGGCAATTGTGCAAGTGTCACAGGCCCTGATTGTCCCCCATCCCTCTTAGAACATCAAGCCTTGCCCAACTTGTTTTTCTCACTTTGGCCAATATTGAAGTTTTAGCAGAGTTCCTCTTTCTTGCTCCCTGCCAGCCTGTGTTCTGTTCTGTGGGTCTCCTCCCCACTCCCCCAGGGCCTACAGATTGGGTCATCGCTGCCCCAGAGGCCATGCTTTGGGGACGATGTATCCCTGGCAGGGAAGCAGGGCCCTTTGCTTTGCCAGGGGGGGCCTGCCTGGGGACAGTGCTACTCCCATGCTGTAAGTCCCAAGGTCAGTCAGTGCTGAATTATAGCTGCCTCCCCAGGTCAGCGTGCTGCCAGGGCAGGGCAGAGGGCACAGCCTCTCTGAAGTGCGCAAGTTTCTACATCAAGATGGCTTTTAGATCTCACTGAAGGATTATCATCCCATTTTACAGATGAGAACACTGAGATCCAGAGTTGCTAGTAAGTGTCAAAGTCAAGGTGGGAACCCAGGCTTGTCTGATCCCTGACTCCTAGGCAGGGCCGCCCCTCAGGCCTCTGCTTGTCAGTGAGACAGAGAGAGAGGGCTGTGGCCTGGCTGATGGCCATTTATAAAACTAGCTGGGTGTGGAGGGCAACTGTCTGTCTGCCTGTCTACTGTGGCTTTACCCAACACAGGTTCTGAGTATCCCTGAGGCTTGAGGCAAGGCACACTGAAGGCTGGGTCACATGAACCTGGCATTTCTGCTATCTAGGGGGATTTGAGGGGCTGCGTCAGGCCCGTCCACTCCTCCAGCTTCAACAGCTTCTTGGATTGGCACAATGACCTGACGACCCATATGATGGTGGTGGGTAGTCTACCAGGGGACCACCTATGGGCATTGGCCTTGAGTTCTAACTCACCCCCTTGTGGCCTTCACCCTAGTGGGCTTCTCAGTGCCTCCCTCCCTCCTTCCCCACTCCTGCCCCTAATCCCTGGGCACCAACTCTGCCAGGCTAAGGACCAGGATTGAGGGTGAAGGTCCACCATGTGGACTTGGAGGTGCCTTGGAGATGGAAGTCATGAAAGAAGCAGCTTCTGAACTGTGTGGGCTTTGTAGGATGATGAGAATCTCACCACAGAGAGGAAAGCAGTTGCTGGTGAACAAATGTGTGTCAACAGCATGGGGTGTGTGTGAGAGATTAGGGTTTGGGTTCCTGGGTGACCTGGCTTTGGTCCTGTGTGTGCTGGGGAACCCCGGAGGTGTTTAGCCAGGGTGTGGCAGGTCCAGCTTTGTATCCGGTTGTGTATACCAGGATGAAATGGGCTGGTGACATCACACTTCCTGCCCACACAGATGGCTGGGTAGCATCTGCCAGAGTCCGAAGAGGCCTGAGGAAGGAGGACGTGCTGGTGCTGACTTGAACCCAGGGCCTGGGGAGCTGTCTCATAGGAGGAGGTTGGGAAGGCCCATCTGGAGCCCAGCCTATGCCCTGGGGCTCAGCAGCATGGCCCTGGCCCTCATGTAACATCGTCATATGCTCCTTTGCCTTTCAGTTTGCATGACCAACTGCCCTACACTCATTGTCATGGTGGGCCTGCCTGCCCGGGGCAAGACCTACATCTCCAAGAAGCTGACGCGCTACCTGAACTGGATTGGAGTGCCCACGCGTGGTGAGGCTCAGCCAGGCAGTCCAAGGGCCTGGTGGGGCTTTCTGAGGGAGGGGAAGGAGATGAGAAAAGGATGCAGTGTGGGTAGAGCCCAAGGCTGGGGAGGCGAGTGGGGGTCAGGAGTTGACCAGAGCTGTCATGACCATCAAAAGCTGAGCCTCTCTTTTCTCCCAGAATTTAACGTTGGCCAATATCGGCGGGACATGGTGAAGACATACACATCTTTTGAGTTTTTCCTCCCAGACAATGAAGAAGGTCTGAGAATCAGAAAGTAAGTTTGTGTGTGTATGTAAGAGTCAGGGGACCGGGCCTGTACAGAAGGCTAATGAGTTTCTGCCTTTTATGGAGGCCCCTGAAGCTTTGGAGCCCAGGTGCTGATGAGAGACCAAGTTACCCTGGAGCCCCAACTTCCTGCTCGGATGACTGTGTGGCGGGACTGACCCCTGACCTCTTGGGGAGTGGGTTGGGGGTGTAATGGGCCTGGGGGTGTGGGGAGCATGGTGGCTGCCCCTGACCTGCTGTCCCTGAGAGAGGAGGACAGAGTGTCAGGAAGCTGAGGGAAGCTTAGGCAAAAGTCCAGCCTGGCCAGCGAAGGTCAGGGGTCAACTTTGTGAAGCCCACCCCTGGAGAGTGATGACTAGTGGGGAGTGGGGTTACTCTGGCACCTTCTCACAGAATCAGAAGGGGAAGGCCAGGATCCTTCTCCCCTGCCTCGAGTTAAACCCTCTTTGTATATTTAGTTAAGTGCTGAGCTGCTATGGTTCGAGCAGAATGAGCAGAATGGTTCGAGCTGGTGAGCTACTCTGTGGGAGAGGATGTGACAGTCTGCTTTCCTGACTATTACACCCTTAGAACCCTGTGGGTTCTGCTTGGCCTACAGGGTCGCTATGAGCTAGAATCAGCTCGATGGCAGTGGGTCTGGATTTGGGTTGCATGGTGTGCTTGCCATGCAGTTCTTCGTGCATGTGGAGTATGCATGCCTTGGCTTGGCTTTCAAATGGCTTCAATGTGCTAGGGGAACAGTTCACGTTTCAGAGAGGGAACTTTGTGTCTGATAAACCCTGACTTAGACTTTCGTCAGAGGAGCAGATTACTGGCTTGGGAACTGTGTTCTTTTTTGGCAAGTGTCGGGTGAAGGGGATCAAGTAACTCCTTGTTAACCCATGGTGCACCAGGCCAGAGGCCACCAGGCTGCTGCCAAGTATGGACACTAGGCGTTACTTTTTATTTTTCTGTCTCGCCACCAGGGGGCACTAATACCTCACTGTGGGGCTGAGCTCCTTTGCCTGCTTTGGCTATTGGGCCAAGGAGCCTAGACCAATCAGGCTCTTTACCAAGAAGCGGAGATTTTCTTGTCCTGGTGGCTAAGTTGTAGGTTAAACTTCAGACCACACTAGCTGGTGATACTGAGCCAGACTAAAAGGAGGGGACTGAGAGTTGACATGTATGAAGTTCTGAGTGCTTGACACCTGCTATTGCCATCCCCTCCCTTATTTTATAAGGATCTCTGATGGGATAGTGTATTATGTGTTGTGCTGCTCACTGAAAGGTCAATGGTTCGAATCCACCAACTGCCCCTTAGAAAAGACGGGCAATCTCTGTACTTCAGTGAATGCTATATTTTATTAAAGAATCTGTATTGAGAGAGGGAAGGGAAGGGAAGGGAAGGGAGGGGAAGGGAGGGGGAAGGGGAAGAAAAAA